CGCCTCTTACCCACCTCTTTTTTGCAGATGACCTCCTTCTTTTTGCAGAAGCTGAGCGAAGACAAATCCGGGTGATTAAGAAATGCCTAGCGGATTTCTGCTACAGTTCTGGGCAACGGGTCAACTACAACAAGTCCATTCTGTATGTTTCCCCGAATGTCGCCCAACACAAAGCAGAATACCTGAGCCAGTGTGCGGGAATTCCTCTGAAACCAGCACTGGGGAGATACCTCGGGATCCAGGCAATCCAGGGGAGGGTCACGAAAGGAAGATATCAATCTCTCCTGCTCCGTATTCAGAAGAAGATGGCTCCCTGGAAGGCGAAACGCCTCTCTTTCGCGGCTCGGTTAACAGTGGAGAAATCGGTAACTGCCTCTCTCCCGGTTTATACTATGCATATTGAGTTAATCCCAGGGGGTGTGTGCAGGAGTATAGATAAAATCAGCAGGGACTTCAACTGGGGAGAGGGGGAGAATCGCTCGAAATTCCATCTGGTGGCTTGGGAGAACATGACGAGACCAAAGGATCAAGGAGGTGTGGGCCTTCGACCAACTCATCAGGAAAATCTGGCCATGCTGGCGAAATCAGGATGGAGGCTGATGCAAAATGAAGGAAGTTTGTGGCGACAATTGCTCCTATCCAAGTATGGGGGTCAAAGAGTGGGCCTCGACATCTTGCGGAGAGTTCAGGGAAGTTCCTTCACCTGGAGCAGTTTCTCCAAAACTGCTGAGCTCCTTAAGAAAGGATGCGCTTGGAATATTAAGAATGGAAAAAAGACTAAATTTTGGCTTGATCCGTGGATTTTGCAGGTCCCTCTGAAAGGAGTAGTGACTGGTGAGATTCCGGAAGCTTGGGAGCAGGCGGCAGTAGCTGATCTAGTTCGTGAGGATGAGAGCTGGCGCACGGAGCTTTTCAGCGCACGACTCCCCCATTATATTTGCAACAAAATCATCAGTACAACGGTTGACACCCTCGCCCAAGAAGAAGATTCGTTATTCTGGTCGGCGACAGCAGACGAGAGGTTCTTCGCCAAGTCGGCCTATGAATTACTGTCGGCTCTTGACATGCAGCCGAGGGACGAGATTTGGAAGATGATCTGGGGTTTGCCAGTGGCGGAGAGGATTAGATGTTTTGTTTGGTTGGCTATTCCGGGCAAGATAGCAACCAATGTCCTCCGGTTTCAGAGAAAGGTAGCGGATTCTCCTATGTGTTTGCTGTACAGGGCAGCCTGGGACGGTTGTCCATATCCTGAGGGACTGCGCCCCAGCGCTGTTCTTCTGGTCCAGAATTGTGCCGCAGCAGAAGCAGCATGAGTTCTTCAGCGCCACTCACGAGGATTGGTTCCGCAGCAATCTCGTGAGCAAGGAGTCGACCAGCTCAGGTATTAATTGGCCTGGTTTTTTCAGTATGGCTTGCTGGTTATTATGGAAAAACCGTACTACTATGGCGTTCAAGGGACCTAGTGCAGCGATGACAGCTCCCTCTCTCTTGCACTCCATTATGGTTAAGACGAAGCTTTGGAATGATTCTTGGCATGCTCCAGACCCTTTCTCCAATCTCAAGAAGCAAGCGACTGTGCGGGTTAGTGCGGATATTGGCTGGACGCCTCCTGCGGAAGGTTGGGTTATGGTAAACACTGACGGGGCTTCTAACGGAAACCCGGGGCCAGCCGGAGCTGGTGGTGTGGTGCGAGGCCCTCTGGGGAACTGGTTGGGAGGTTTCGTGGCAGGTATTGGTTCGGCTACTGCTGTGCTAGCTGAGTTGTGGGCTATCTATTATGGTTTAGAGCTCACTTGGAAACTCGGTCACCGGGTGGTGAAGGTAGCTTCGGATTCTCAGCTTGCGATTCAGCTGATTCATGAACGGCATGACCCCATTCATCCCTATGCGACCCTCTTGAATCTTATCCGCAGGAAAATTGGACAGGACTGGTTGGTTAGCTTGACTCATACATATCGAGAAGCGAATAGAGTCGCAGACTGGCTCTCGAAGCACAGTCTCGTCTATCCCTACGGTATGTATGAGCTGGTTGATCCACCCTTGGGAGTTCTACCGCTGTTGCAGGATGACGTGATGGGTGTTACTTTTGAGCGTCGGATTGTGGCGACCTCCTCCTCTACTAGCTAGACCACCTCTGTAGTCTCCCTCTCTCTTTCTTGGCTTCGGCCTCCTTTGGTATCCAAAAAAAAATATGGTCTATAAGATATTTACTTAATGAGCGTGTTGAATTCGTCTAGATAAAGAGAAATTAATTTTATCAAAGTCTCATGATCTTGAGTTGGAAACCATCAGGCCATCACTATCACGTCCATATGAATGATGATATGTGGTGTCGATCATATGATTGTTATCTATCAGAGAGTTACTCAATAAATGTGTTGAATCAATTCTCGTAAAAGCAAAATACTCTCATCGAAATCGCTTAATCCGAAGTTCAAAACCATCATAAACGTTCATCTTAAGAGATTATATATATTGTTAATCATATGAGTATTAGATAATTATACTCAATGGATGTGTTGAATTATTAATCTGAATTGCTATTTGTAGCCCTAAATAAAACCTATTTGTAGCCTAAAACAATTCAATTACTATTTTACCCTTCTCAATTTTTTGAATTCAAATTTCATATAACAATCTAACCAAACACCCCCTTCCTCCCAACACCCAACAGACCGTCGCCGGTTTCCTCCCAACTAACATCGACGACGACGACTTCTCGCCGGAGACCATGTTCTCGCCAGAGACGATGAGTACTCGCCGGAGACGACGGTAGCAGCGTTGCCAGGAGATCGCCTCGCCGGAGAAGAGGACCCAGTCATCGGAGAAGAGGACTTCGCCTCGCCAGAGAAGGGGACCCAGTCGTCAGAGAAGAGGAGATCGCCTCGCCGGAGAAGAGGACCCGGTCGTCGGAGGTAGGTGGCGGCAGCCGGTGGCGGTCGTCGGCGGCAGGTCCGGTGAAAATATTGGGATTGTGTTTGGCAAAGTGTTTGAATTATTTTTTGTATTGTAATGTGTAAATTGAATTAATTTAAATGTGATGGGTATTTGTGTACATTTTTTAATTTAAGGCTACAAATAAGGACAAGTTAGGGCTACAAATAGTACATCCTTTATTAATTCACTTGTCATCCAAGTTAAATCGTGATGGTATTTGAACCATATTAAGAATTATTGTCTTTTTGTCGACTTCATGATATAGTAGGTGCGTTTAATGTTATAATTGAAAATTTACATGTAAATTTTAGGTATTATAATGTTGGATGTACGCCTGTACGGGGTATTACACATGTTTACCCGATAGGAAATTTGAAAGTAATGCTCCTCACATCATCTTTAAGAATCCAGACTATATATCTTGATAACGAACCAACAAATTCATGGGTAATTAGCATAAACAGCCACAAATCTTTGTACTTAGTACAAAACGGTCACAAATTAAACCTTTAATTTGTAACGTAAAGTAACAAAATTTTTGAAATTGTATGAAATTATCACTTTTGTTTAATTTGTGATCATTTTGTGATAGAATTACTAGATACCCAACCAAAAAACAAAACAAGGGAAAACATGCAACTAGTCGTGCTACTCGGCAGACTCACCGGCGATGCGATTTACAGCGGCTGCTCAAATGGTATGTTGGTAGATGTCGATCAGAAGAAGTGATGCGCTGAAATGAAAAATATGGTAGGCTTAGACAGAAGAAATACCTAAAAAACATAAAAAGAAGAGTAGAAAGAGGAAAATGTAAGGGAGTAAATCCAACACCTACCGTCTATTTCGGGAGGACGGAGACTAGTTTCATGAAATAGTTAGGTCTTCGAAGTCGCGTCGTCGATGGAAGGTGGTTGCCGAAAACATAGCAAAAGGGAAGAAGAAAGGAGTTGGTTGGCGGAACGGTTCTCGATCGGTGGAAGGAATGACCTCTGTTGTTGTCGGCGATGATGCTTAAGCGCGGCCGGAGGAAGGCAGAAGATGGTCGGAAGAACGACTACTGGTGATGGAAGGAGGAGGGTTTGGTCGTCTGGTGGGGGAGACGAAAGGGAAAAGTCAAATCGTTTTTTCCCGACCCTAAACTTCTTCCCCTTTCCAATGTGGGTGACGCCAGCTAATGAATGATTTAATGCACAAAAAGACTGTTCAATCCTCACCCTACATTACCACTAATTTAGATGGACGATTGTGGATGGGGTGTCGAAAATTAGTCCCCTCCACAAGCTAGTCAAGCTAACAAAACCCATGTTAAATATACACTAGCTTTAGGTTAAACTATTTTCTTTTAAATTCCCCCCTCCCTCACATGCATGCTAAACATTTATGCTAATTACCCACACGCATGCTAATCATATATATATGCCTTCTTAGGGAAGGCATAATTAATTGAGGTAACACCGACACGTACTAACCAAGAAGTATCACTATGATTAATTAGAGTACAAGGATAAAGGAACAGTGAAATTAGGATATTCTTTTCATAGCATATACTGAAAATAACATCTTTAATAGTTTGAATCGTAAATGTATACTTTACAAACTTTTCAGTATATGGGTACTTGTCAGTGATTATCTAAAATTGGACGCATTTTCATGAAATCCCAAATATGTCACTCCCTATAATTATCTTAACATTACATATGATTCATCCGCAACTAATCATCTTAATTTCCCCACCTTAATTAGTTGCGTAGCTTATCTCCATTAAAAATGTTATTAAACTTATTATTGCATAATTAGAAAATTTCCTTAACCAAAACTCTAAACCTTACAACCTACATTCCACCACCACAAGACTCGTTCTAATCATAATTATTCCCTCCTTATTTCATATGATTCCCACCACCCAAAAGCCTCCATGTTACCCTAAATTAGTGGAGTAATTAACAATTATTAGCCTTCCCCGTTAATTAATTGTTTTCCAAAAAGAAGGACAAATATTATTAGAACGTCTAAGTTCTAATCATCATTATAAAAGGTCACCTATCCCAAAGCTTATCCTCACGGCAAAAACACAAAGACAATAAAGAGAGTAATTAAGAGAGATTATACGAAGAGGAAAGAACACAATTCTTCTTCTTCATTAACATCTCTTTTTGCTCTCCTTCAATCCAACTATCTTCTTATCATCATCATAATGGAAATGAAGAAGGTTGCTTGCGCCGCCGTCGTGTTCGCTGCCGCCTCAATGAGCGCAGCGTTGGCTCAGGACGCCGCCGCCGCCCCTGCCCCCGGCGTCGCCGCTTTTGGCCCCGCCGCTGCCGCCGGACCCACCGCCGCTGCTGGTGCACCCACAAGCGGGGCCGCTGGTGTCTTGCCGGCTCTTGGGTCTTTGGTCGGTGCCTCCGTCGTGTCCTTCGTTGCCTTCTACTTGCAATAAATTCTCAACCCCGATGGAAGAGAAAGATTAACGGAAGAGCTAATTGTTCATGCATTGTTATGAACGCACATTTGATTAATGAAAACTGCCTTCTGTTTGGGGTTGATGACAATAACAATGTTTTTTTTTTTACCAAGCTGACAATAACAATGTGGTGCTTGAATTTCTTTTCTTTTGATCTTATTGAACTACGGTTTTCCAGGCGAGAAAACTTGCGTTGAAACGAATTGAATGCACCTTGATTTTTTTTTATAACGATTAAATTAACATGGTCCACACCTCTTCAAACAAAGTTCGAACGAGGGTGTTCGATGTTTACACGACTCACGAGACAGATCTACATTAAGGTACTCCTACTCCTATGGAGCATCTGAGAGCTACTGATAAAAATTGCAGAGGAAATATAAACTTGATAAAACTTGACAAGTAGTGTTGAGTGGTGATTTTTGCGACCCTCTCCTCTGTCAACTTCTCCTCCTATCTATAGGCTTGAGATGATAATCGTCGTAGAAAAAATGTCTGAGAGTAACTTACAAAAAGAACTGCTCCCTTCTTCCTCAGACGTGGCTGACGTGTCATTGTACGTGGGATAATTGGCAGTAGCTATGTTAACCGCTTTCCCTTTCTCTTGGAACTGATATCTTATTACTTGACTCCCTTTTACCATGGTCATTCCAGATCTCAAGACGATGGTCTTCTACATCTCGCAGCCGACATGGGATCTAGATCTCGAGACGAGGCCTGCCCAGCTTGATGCCAACGTGGTTTAGATCTCGCGACTACGTCGGGCTATTAGACTTGACGTCAACATGGTCTAGATCTCATGACCACGTCGGGCTCTAGATTTGACGCCAACGCGGTCTAGATCTCGCGACCACATCGGGCTCTAGATTTGATGCCAACGCGGTCTAGATCTCGCGACCACGTCGGGCTCTAGATTTGACGCCAACGTGGTCTAGATCTCGCGACCACGTCGGGCTCTCCAACTCGCAACGAAACTAGCTCCTTACCGGAGACTTAGTGTTTGAGCTTAAAACTAGTATCATGAGACCCAGTTCAAATAACATTAATTGTCATTAATGATCTGGCCTTATAAAGATAATAAATGTCTTGTAAATAATCAATGCGGTATACGATTATTTTTTAGCTGTAAACAACTACATAGCTCGTGTCGGGCAATGAGACAAAAAAAGTTAGTTAAAATATTCAAATTTTTCCCATCAATTTATTTGAATCCTCAACTGGTCATCAAGGATCATATATCGAGAAAACCTTTTCTTCCTAGAGTTGAAGTGACTTACAAGGAAGTTCCTTCTCTCATCCTGTTTTACGTGTAAGTTTCGTGTCTTTTCACTATTTGGAACTTTCACAGAATTGCCTTCTTATGGCATAATAGATTCTTTCATCGGGAGTCCGATTGCATATGGAATATCATTATTTGTTATTATGTTTTGTAAATTTGTTGTTGGCCATGTCTTGGGGGCTTATCTTGGTTTAAAAAATCATGAATTAATAAGTGATTAATGACATTAAGTGATTGGTCAATTGAATTTATAATATTATGTGAAAACAGAATACATTAGTTTATAGATCGAAATTGCATGAAAAATCAATTGTATCTACGTGAATATTGATGAATTCGCGTGACTAATTAATAAAGTTCGTGTGAATAGTGAGGCGAAAAAATTGTTTCGCAATAAAATGTATTAAAAAAATTATACATAAGATTAATACATGAATATCAGCCAACTACTTTTGTTATTAGTATCGATTGGTCTATGATAAAGGCAAAAAAAAATTCTCTAGTTAATGGATCTACTACCACACTTAGAACTGAAAATTGTCTTGACTCGCTTCTGATCTTGTCTGGTCCGCTTTTGAAGAGTTAAGATATATAGTTCTTGTCATAGGTGGACTGGGGAAGGCTTTAATTGGACGTGACCAATCCCTTGTTGTTCCCTCTTCAACTTTGTTCTTCGTCCCAGGGAATAATTCCCTTCCTATTAGTCATGTGGGAATTGGGATGCTCGGAATATTTCCCTGCTTTCGTGTGTATATAAATCCAAGCAGCTTCTTGGTGCCACCAACAAACGATCCGGATGCAGGACCTTGAACCATCCTCGTCGTGAGGAGCCTCCGGGGTACATTCAGCTCGTTCCGTCGCTGGGAATCAGGTATTCCAATTACCCGGTGTCCCCGATTCTAGTAACAGGGGTTCTCCATATACGAGGGAGGTGACGGCGAGTTGCAACCATTAGGTGCCATATAGGTCGATCTGTTCGGTATACATATCAGGCTAGCAGCAACTGAGTGTTTTAAAATTGTTTGAAGCCGAACATGAAAAATTAGGGTTATCAATCTGGAGTTTAGTTACGGAATAGGTCGCTCTCTTTAAGACGTTCGCGGCACTGCCCTCGTTGCGTACGGCAGACTATCAACCGCTCGGTGGTCGCCTACAGGATAAAAAAGCTCATCTAGGACGCTCGACCATTTTGTGCGAAAACCGGAGCTCTCTGAATACACTCTCTCTCTCGTATTTCTGCTCTCTGAATTGGTGTATTTAGAAGGTCTAGGTAGTTCTCTATTTATAGGAGTAGAAAACCCAGAATATTTCATGTTTCGTGGAAAATAAATCACATTAATTAGAAAGATAATTACTCTCATAATTAAAACGCGCTCTATTGAGATAATTAACTGAATTATCTCCAAAATATTCTTTTTATTAATTATCCTTCTTATTTTTTATCTGCAAAGAATACTGGATAATTAATTCAATATATCTGTCAAAACTATTTGTTTGTGCCACGAACCCCCTACCCTCAACTCTGTGCAATCCACAGCTATCGTCCGTCGGCGAAGCGCTTAGACCCTGCACCACAAGCGCCTAAAGGGCTTCTAGATGCCCGTTAGCACTCCAACGCTCAAGTCAGAACAGATTCTAGAAAGATAAAAGTTTAGTGAGATTTTAGTGAGAGAAGCCAACCTGCTTAAATGCTACCTACCGAGTACTATTTATACTAGTCAAGGAACCGACCAGGCTCCCAGAATTCAGCTCCACGTCAGAATGCTTGGTACGGCCCAACAGTCGGGCATCTACACGTGGCAGCTCCTAGATCCCGACACCCAAGCGCCTGGCAGGACCACACTTTCAGGTGGCACGCTCTCAGCCTCCTGGTCCCGAAGTTGCGCGGTCCCCGCATCTACTTTTGTCGTTATGCTCCCGCTCTTCCTTGCATGGGCCTCATTCCGGGCTTGCTCCTCCCTCCTGCTCTCAATTGGGCCTGGGTCCAACCAAGCCTCCCAGGCTTGTATGGGCCCAGCTCCTAGTTTGTTTCTCACTTAAGTTCCTAAATGGGCTTGGGTCCAACCGCCAATTCCCATGAGCCTATGTCCCCCACTGGCTCATCTGTGCTCACCCAACACTATTCATTCCGAACATATCCAGCTAGGCATCGGGTCCTGGATCTTCTACATCACCAGAGGGACACCGATCGTGGAGGTCTCGATCCAGAGTCGCTCAAGCCCATCTACTTCTTTAAGAAGATGGAGGAGCTCGGGAGGCTTCAGATCCTCACGCTGGCGGCTGGCGCTTCAGGTGGTGAAGAATTTGAACGTGTTCTTGGTTAGGGCTCGTGGAGCTTTCGTCTTGTGTGCTGTTGGGATGGGTGTCGGAATGAGATTCGTTGTGTACCCGAGGTTGCGGCGTGTAATGGTAGCAATGCAGCTTGGTAGGGATCTTCCATTTTGCACTTTACTGTCAAAATGTCCCTATATTTTGATAGCCCTTGATTTACGCCAACTTGAGCCGAATTACGTGCACCGCACATCGACTATAATTCGAACGTTTCTTGCGCTCAACTTGTATAGAGGAATTCGGGATTGTTGCATTCGAATCATGGAAATAGTTGTATATCACAAAGAATCAAAGATGACAAGTTACCTTCACGAATAACATGACCCGTATCCGAAATAACATAGATCAACAAATGTGATGAATTGGCTCGTTACAAAACTCACCATAAAGCACTAACCCTTGTGCAAAACATACATAAGTACATAACCAAGACACAAGAAATGGCGAAGGGACAACAGTGTTATCTTCTCCCCCAAATATGTTTTTTCAAGTCTTATATATGTTTCTTTTCTTTCTTTTGGCATTTTTCATGCCTTTCTCTCTTTCTTTTTTTTTTTTTTTTTTTTTTTGGTTGCGTTCTCTCTTTCCTCCAAAAAACAGCAACAGAAGAGGGAAAAGGAAAATCAGAAAACAAGAAAGGAAAAGCTGTTCTACCAGAAAATAAATTATACGACTAATCACTTAACTTCATCCCATTTTCTATTCACATAATTTTCCCGCACCCAGCTTACTTAATGCGCTCTAATAATCAAAACATTCACGGCAAACCATACTATGGAGTCACTTCATCAGCAACTGAAAACTTCCAACCAACTCCGGTCTGGTTCAGGCATTTCTCCAAGAACTCGAATCAAGGAAAACGAACCTCCTCGTCTCTCATCGTTGCAACTCTTCGTTTGGCAGCAAAAAAAGAAAGCAGTTGTGGAATTGCTTCTTAAGCTGATGTTCCCTCCTGTTTAGGCTCCGTCCTGACATAGGTAAGACTGCGGGGGCCAGGGGAATTAACACTGCTGCTCGTGCTAGTGCTGGCATCAGCAGCCCCACGCTTCCACTGCATACTCCGGGCAACAGGCTTATGGCGACCTCGGAATGCACCCCCACCAGGGATGCCTCTAGCAAAAGGGGATCTCGAAAACCTGGCAACAGTGAAAGGAGAGCCCTGTGGGACACTGCGTGGCCAAGCCATCAAGGGAGGAGAATCTTCTGGGGTTGCAGCACTTCTCTTTACCACCTACAAAATTGTGAACATAATTCAGACACAAATGACTTCACAGCTATGCTATACAGATAAGAGATGCATAGAGATGTCGACATTCATGATCCATGATATCATCCATCAGGGTATTATTTTGGGATTAGAGCTACATCCCTAATCAGAGAATTCAGGAAACTACAGTATCATAACAAACATCACCAACGAAGAACAAACTACGACGTCACCAATAATAGTGTTCGCCTAACCTTGAGAATCCGCGACATAAAAGAAGTTCCATTGAGTGACAAAGCATTTTCTGCTGCTTCTTTCCTCGTGAATTCTACATAAGCCGATCTGCAGACAGTACTGACTCCGTTTAGGACACATTCCTTTCTATGGAAAAATATGAATCAAGAAATAAAGACTCCGGAACACCTTACCCTTTTGGCTGTCCTGTTGCAGCATCAGTTATGATGACCACCTTAAGCACCTCACCAAACTTATTAAAATGCCGAGAAAGACTGTCCTTGGTGGCAGCAAAATGAACCTGCAGACCATAGAAAAAGGTTAATTATCAGCAAGGATGAAGCAGCAGCAGAAAGTCCTGAAAAAGGCCATATAGAGCAAAGGTAGTTACATTGCTCACGAAAATAGTTCTAGACTCGGCATCTTCTAGAGGTCGACCAGCTGTAAGTGAGACTGCAAATATCAACAAGCATCATAAATTAGAAACAAAAAATTTCGACAAACAGATGCTGAAAGACCAGAAACCCAGTGCTTATTAACACAATCAGTAAATGGCCATTAAGGCTGTGGTTTTTCACCATTACAAAAAACGAGTTCTAGAATTTGATTTAGTAGAAATACTATTCACTCTAAACTCGTGAAAAATTAAAAGCTGAAGACGGCGTCACAAAAGAGAATCATTTCCCACTTCATATCTGAAATAAGAATCAACTCTTAGAGTTATGCCCATAATACTCAACTTCCAAAACTTACTCATTTCTTCATAATTAATTAAACTATCAAACATCCCATTAACTAATATTTTAAACTAAAAACATCTCATATTCTAGCGAACTCACCTTCCAAAAATCTTATGGAAAAATCTTTCACTAAATCTTTTATGCAGCAAAATCTAAAACAAGAAAACCCTAATAGTTGTGTTTAGAGCATACCAGGCGTAGTTGGCGATGTTCGCTGAGGTTCTTTACGGTCTGTAGCAAGTTTTCCCTATTTACAAAATCAGCGGAAAATTATCAATAAACAATAGTATATCCAGAGGAGAGAATATAATTCGTGATGGAAGTCTGAGAACTCAAAAATACGAGTTTCATACATCGCCATTACCAACCACAACAGGATTGTTGTTCTCCTTCATAATCTGAGCGCCAACTTTCACTGTATGTGTCCCATTGTCCCGGGAAGGCTTCTCTAATCGGCCAGCTAGCGGCAATTGATGTGGATGAGGTTGCTTCCCTGAAGCATTTGCATGCTGAACAGATTGATGTAGACTTTTATTCGGGACAAAATCACCAGCATTGTGCTGAACCCTGAATTGGTGTACATCATTGCTGACACGAGATGTTCCAGTTGGCAGAACTTCAATATCCCGATCGTCCACACCCATGGCATCACTATAGTTTCCATTTTCAGACATGAAGTTGGAAGTCAAACCTCTATGATTTCCCCGAAGGAGGTTAGATGCGAGTTCTTCCTCATCCATAGCCACATCCCTATATTCTAAAGTGGTCTCGAATGAAGTTGAATCCCGGCCAAGACGGTCAAACACACTTCTTGGGGTTTTGACTTTTGTTACATCTTCAGCAGCTTCTTGCACAGCCTTGATTATGGTAGCCATAGGACCTCGTGGATTTCTAGCAATAGACAGCATCCTTCTAGGGCGATCAACTGGCTGTGTTGGCTCCTCAGTGGATGTAGATACAACTGAGCGAAGACGCTTGAGGGAGGGCTCTTTCACTGAACTAGATGCCTTTGGAGTTCCCAAAGCATCCCGCACTGCAAATTGGAGTAGTCTCCTAGGAGCATCAATAGTTGCTAGTGCAACTGTCTCCCTCTCCCTCTGCATGAAAATAATGACCGAAAGTAAGGATACACGTTGACATAAAGGCATGGCGATTATCCTTTCTTAGACAAGCCTACTTCAACCAATGATAAAATCCTACTAATGCTTACCAAAAACATGAGAATACCAGCCAGGAAAGAATCAAGATTTACAATACACTGACAAATTTGCATCAATACCTCCCCTTAATTACATAAAAAGCACACACCTGACGCTAAACTAACTATGTAATATATTGGATTACTGGAGTGGCAGCATATATGACACAATATTCTCTTGGTATCCAAAATAAAGTGTACCATAAAAGGATATAATCCTAACCTTTGATGCTTCTCCCTCATCATGCCGACTTCTTTTTTTCTTCTGGGAAGCTCGAGGTGATGCTGACTGCTTTTCATGATTGACTTTATGATGAGTTGTATCCTCCATGACTGCATCCAAAACCTCAGAACTACGGAGAGAAGGCTGTTCAGTTGGTCCAAGCTTTGTGTCTCTCCATTCTCTTCGATGCCGACTCCGAGATATATTTTCAGTGTTTACTTTCTTAGATTCAAAATCTACATGATGAGAATCATCTCCAACTATATTAGTCCGTAGAACTCTCCTTGAATCGGTCGTTATATCTGTTTCGGTGTGCCCATGACTCACATACAACTCTACACTTGAAGCCAGGTGATCCCATAACCTGCCAGACAACAAGAAAACACATGGAGCAAGTATCAAGGATCAATATCCCAAGAATATGATATTACGTTTCCAACATAAGCATAAAGCATGAAACAGTTACCAAGAAACAAAGGAAACACTGTCATCCCCCAGAAAAACATTCAATTCATTCTTTGCTTCTTCTTTGCGCCTGCCATTCCTCAATAACACGATTACGTACTCCTGCAAATGAAAAGTCAGAAACCAGGAAATCTTAGTTTCAAAGAAAAAAGAGCTACATATTGCTAAGAACATCAAGCATATAACCTTGCAGAAGTCCAAACTGTGTCCATTAGGCAAAAGAACATCTTACTATAGCGACCACACTGAATTAGCATGGCATTGACACCACTGACAACAATCAATACATATGGTAAGCAGATGACAAGAAAACCCACATGCACAAGGCTCTAAGCCTTCTCTTGTACATTATGTGTTATCTCAAAAAAGACTCTAAAGCCTCTGTAAAAAAGTTCAAGCTCTGAACACTCCTTTTTCCATTTGATTGCTATCTACAATATGAAGTAATGTGGTTAAGTTTCCCCTCCGCAATGTTCAATCTTGGATAGTGCCTGCTAATGATGTTGAAATCAGTACACTAACCCTGTCATCACAGCTACCAAGTGTCCTATAGACAGCAGAAGACGAACAAACCCTGGGCAGACTAGACTCTAAGAACCTTTAAGGACCCTAATGAATCATAAAACACAGTTGCTTTCTACTATAACAATCCAATTCACTCGCAACCTAATCTCTCTACACACCCAAATGAAGAGCGAAAGCTTCCAGGAAAACATGGGCAAAGGTTCATCTAAGAATTGAGGAACAATTCGAAAAAAGAGTAACAGGAATTCAATAAAACAATAAATAAATCGAGCCTCCCAATTCTGCAGAAGTTGAAACTACCCCAGGTACATACCACGAGAGTGTCGTCCGTGTAATCCCCCATGAACTCCTTGAGTTTCTCCCTCACTCGTTCTCTCAACTTTCCAACACCATCCTCTGAGAAATTAACCCTAAATGTCCGATCGTCAACTCGATCCAAACTGCCCATCTCTCTCTATCTCCCTTTCTGTCCCCTTCCTTACCCCAATCGGAAACCTAACAGAGAGAAACTGGCGACGAAGATTCACAAATTACTGCAGCGCGGTGGTGGCACACTGGCACTGCCTCTCGACCAATGCGGCAGGCAGGAGAAGAGATAGCCAGGGATTTTTTTGGGGGAAAGAAGTCCAGCGAGGGACGGCGAAAGATTGAGGTTGTGTTTCGGGGTTCATGGAAAACCCCCGAAACATTGGTGGGTTAATTGCACCTGTTGTCAGTTAAGTTCACCTTTTATTGTACGGTGACTAACTAAGTGTGTTTTTGTTGCACATAAATCATTTACGCCAAACAATAGTTGCAATGTCACCATTTTCGTCAATAACTGAATATTGCATTTTCTTTGGAGTTTCCTTGATTACAAGGAAAAGTAAAAAGCAAAAGAGAGTTTATAGATCATCTTCATAAGCATAATACAAGGCTTTGGCTCAACTGTCACGTGAGATTCAATGGCTCAAGTCACTGTTATCATTCTATGGGATTGGTCGTCCTTTGCCAATTCATGTATTTTATGATAACAAATCTATCATTCATCAGCGACGGATCCATGACATAGTAGTGCAATGGGCCGCATTTTATTAGAAAATTAGATACTGTAAAAAAATCATAAATATAGCAAAATCATAAATAATGGAGTCTATATCCGTACCAATAGCATACTAATCTCCTTCAAATAAAATAGTTAACCAATCAACGAGAAATTATTCGCTCATTTTGTTGTGCAAATCATATTTCACATGTTCCATTGTTGAAAAGGTTTTCTCCATAGTAGTTGTTGAAACGAGCAATGTCAACACTAGACAAATCAATCGACTAATCAATTTGTATTGTGTGTTCATCTATATTTCCACCAGCTGCTCTAGTAAATTTTCAAGGGAGCAAATCTCAGTTCTTTTAGTCTTTTACGTTTTAAACTCTTAGAATTTTAGGTTTCATGGTTTGTTTTTCTTTAGAACATAATCATTGGAGCTAGAATTTCTAGGCTAAATTTAGAGTTGTTATTTGTTTATGTTCAGCTAACATATTTTCTCAATTACACATAATCTTATTATAAAATAATACTTTGGCGAATGACTAAAATTGATAAACTCATAAGGGCTATACTAGCTCCGGATCCAGAGGAGGGCTGGGCCGTGACCCGGGGTGGCCAACTCCTGGATCCGCCAGTGCCATCCATATAGCTGAAATCCAGTCTTTCACGAATGAACAAAACATATTGAGATTGAATGCCATGTTGTTCGTGAAAGACTAAAAGGATGACTTATCAGTCTACACCATGTACCAATTGATGAGCAACTGGCAAACATCTTCATCAAGGGTCTGTCAGTTGACAGATTTACATATCTTCTCGCCAAGCTTGTAGTTCATGACGTATGCATGCCAGCTTCCCGGGAGGGGGGGTGAATCGGATTGATGATCAATGAGTTGTTGCAGAGGAGATGATCATGGAAGAAGGTGAAGAACTCTGCAGAAGGTTGAAACAAAGCAGATGGGCTGATCTTCCTTTCACTCAACCTGGTACACAACAGATATCTCCACGACGCCGTTTGGCTAAGTGGTATGCCATTACACAAACATACAACGTCGCTTTAGCCATAGACAATGGTTATATGTATGTACATACTTGTTGAATTTGAGTAGATTTAGAATTCAGGATCCCATTTATATGAAATTTAATTGTCTAGTATTATGAAACATACAAATAAATTAGACTATCTTGGTTCTATATCATTGAATATCCCCAATTTTATAGTCTTTATTCTAAAAATCTCTAATTCTACTAAATATGTGTACAAAAATCTCCAGCTATATCTAAAAAGCTCGTAGTTCAACGAATTTTTCCTATTAATATAAAATTTTTGTGTCATCAAATGTGTTTTATAAAACATTTGTGTGTATTAGATTTTGGATTGGGAACTGATTATTTTAGCTAGTTATTGAAATGTTACTTTTCAACTATGAGTTACAAAAAATATAAGGTACAAATATAATAACTAATGGTTTGATGAATGACTACTTGACTGGATATTTTTAAGAAAATTTACTTAATAATTGAATACAATGTTATAATATTTTTTCGTAAATGAGACCCCACTAACCTCGAATCCTGTTATTGTTAAGTCCTTAAAATAGTAGGTTTCAACGTGATATCCTGATTTTTTTGTACAAATATTCAATCCGAATTCAAGTTAAAAATATTAATTATTCAATTGTTGCTATATTGACTCCATCAACTAATATTTTACGTTCACATTATTGCTGCTTTAGGTAGGAGTGGGCAATGGGTTGGTCCATATCGGATCACACTGGAACGAATCGATATTTGGACCGGACCACACCGAATCAAATATAATATGGCCCGGTCCTTGGTCCTATGAATTTCAAAAGTACGGAAGAAAAATGAACCGAATTTACATTTGGACCGGACCAAATAGACCAAAGCTGACCGAATGCATTATTGGTTCGTCCTTAGTCCTAAGATATCTTTCACTATTGAACTGTGGTTCTCCTAAGTTTGGTCTGATCTGGTCCGAACCGGAACGATGCCCACCCCTAACTTTAGGCTAACGTCTGGCGTACGCATAACTTACCGTACTCTTGTCCATTTTTATTATTTAGATCTTGAATTAGCTGGAATTTGGAGCATAATGTTATACCCTAACCTTTAATAGATGAACCTCAGTGCCATATTCTCTAACCGACAATTCTGACTCGTCGGAATCATACTTCCTCATCTCTTTCATCTATAAAAAAAATTACTTCCTCCTTGCTTCCATTTAAAAAAATGACCTCCTCATCGCGCAAGAGACTTGTTAGTTGTTGTTAGAAAAAATTAGTTTTGATCTAATCTCCATTCTCGATCCGTTCTTGCCTAAATTACATGTATTCTGAGTCAAATTACTTATGATTTTTCTTTTATTACATCATATTTTAGCTATAATAAAGTTGTAAATTAGTGAAAACCTCAATTTCTCTAATAATTTAACTACATTTATCATAATATTGTTTGTTTTCTTGATCTTATAATAAAAAATAAATATTTATAATATTTTTTATATAAATTGTATACCCATTGGTCGACCTGCCCCTACCCAGGACGAGTGATAAATTACCCGACCTGTCACAGGACGGGTCTGGGTACCAAGAAACCGGCCCCGGACCTGCCCCATTGCCATTCCTACTACTCTCCTTTTAACGGCTTCAGATACGGTGCATAACCATCAGTAACTAAATCTGGACCCTTGATTCGGAAAATTCATATCTAAGGGTGGAGAATTAAAGACAATTTTATTTTTTCTTGTTTTCTTAATTGGCTTATATCTACTTCGTTTTAACTCGGATTTCAAATAAAATGCATAGATGGAACGAGTTCATTGTGCTCTATAATATGAGATCCATTTTCAATATTTTTTTATCAAAAAAAAATTATTGCCTCTCGTTACCAACTGCATACCATATGGCATCTTCTTCGTTTTTAAGTCGTTTTTTAAAATTTTGGCACAAAAGAAACGAGTTCATCATGATCTATTGTATCTAAAAATTTCTAGGTGAACAAAGTACCGGACCAAAATATATCCCACGATACCACCCTGGTACAGGGTGATATCTTGTGGTACACAATGTTAAAAGTCGTAAATGACAGTTAGTATACTACTACTATCATGTATTCAAGCATCCTACAGTCTTGGTATGTTCATACCACCATGATACTCTTTTCATATCATATGATATGCTCTTATTTCAATATCAGTCAATACCATATAGATAGACTGGTGAAAAATAACTCAATTTTTTTGTTCCAAAAATATATCAATGTGGATATCATTTTGAAGAGTACAATTAATCTGATCTAATTGTGCAATAAAATTTAAATTCCGACTTAAAACGAGTGAGAAATCTTCGGTTATAGGTTGGGGGGATTAAAGGCTTTCTAGGATAGAGAAGGGGCGTTGATGTGGCGGATGGTGATTGGGTTATGCATGGTTACTCACCACAAGTAGGGGTGGGCAACGGGACGGGACGGGATACCCGTCCCGTTTTAAACGGGTACCCAGTCCCATTTGGAGGCCTAAGTCCTTCCCATGTCCCAACCCCATATGGGAAACGGGTACCCATTACCCGTACGGGACGGATAACGGGTACCCATAATACCCATAAATACCCAAAGTTTCATTCCCTTGACTGGCTTCATTCCCTTGATTAGCCATGGAAACTATAAACCAAATCAACATAAACCAAATAGACAGATGCTAGAAATTAGAAACATAATTAGTAATTAGCAGAACAAACCTAACTAGTAATTAGAGTCCAGAATATGTACTGTAAGTAGAAAAGAAAAGAGAATGGCAGCTTCATACCTAAATAGATAACAACGCTGGGTGAATGGTGATGCTGCTGATATTAGGGATGGCAACCAAACCCGAACCCACTGGTACCCATCCGACCCAACCCGGTCAACGCGGGTAAAATCCGTGTTGACGGGTTTTGGGTCGGGTTTGAGTTTAAACCCGTTCACTATTCACCGGGTTGGGTTGGGTTTGGGTTTAGGTAAACCCGACCCGTGGGTACCCACCCACACATATAATTAATTTTCTCGGTATATTTAATATTTTAAACAACTAATCTTATTTATGTTTCTGGAGACATGTCTAATTTTTTCTTTCTAATTATGTAGAATGAAGTTTGTGTTATCGAGTGGAGAGTGAAGAAACTTAATTGAAAGGAAGAAGCCTTCAATTAATCATGTTATTTATGGATAATTTATGATTTACTTCAATTTTCTTGAGTTTTCTAGATTCGTGTTGAACAATTTGTATAGTTAATTTATGATTTGCTTGAATTTTCTAGAATGGTGTTTTAAATATGGATAATTTGTATGGAGAGATTAATATTTGACTTTAATTTTGATAGGAACTTGTTATTATAAATTTTTTACGACAAAAACCCGTGGGTACCCATGAACCCGCGGATACCCAGCGGGTTGGGTTGGGTTTGAGTTTTTCAAACCCAGTGGATTTTACCCCGGGTTTTTTTCACGGATAAACCCATGGGTTTGGGTTTGGGTTTGGCAAACCCGACCCAACCCGACCAATTGCCATCCCTAGCTGATATTCCCCCTGCTCTTAGCTGGGAAAGTTGGCTGCTGCTGGTTTGCTATTGGAGGCGGCGCAGTAGAGTGAGAAGAAGGAAGCCGCCGCGGCCCGCGCCGGTGAATGAAGGAGGAAGCGCGCGGAGCGGCGGAGACGCGGAGGCGGAGCTAACGAGCTAGGTCTCGCTGTCGCTGCGGCTGCGCTCGGTGGAGGACGCTGTCTCACACTCTCGCTGTCTGATTGTCTCGCAGTTAAGTGAAAGCCGAAAGGGAATAGGCAGCCAGGCAGGGTAAGGGTCGACTAAGGGTAAGGGCCGAAATGGCCAAGGCCCAATGCCACATTTCTGAATTAGTGAATTGGGTTGGGGTGTTGGGTTGTGGGCTATTTCTGGTAAATGGGTACAACGGGCACCCACATTACCCAAACGGGTATTTGCGGGTAACCCGCGGGTACCCATATTAGGAATGTACAATCCCAAGTCCCATCCGTTTATAATAATACGGGTAATATGGGTACCCTTAGGTCGTAACCCTTAAAAAACGGGACGGGTACAGGCATACCCAAATACCCGTTTCTCGTTGCCCACCCCTAACCACAAGGTTACTAACCGGATTTGTTCCCCATTTTAACTAGTAGCGGATCAAGTCAGTAACCTTGTGGTCAATAACTAGGCATAACCCAATCAAAATCCACCACATCAACGCCCATTCTCTCTCCTATAAAGCCTTTAATTTTTGCCCCTTTAATCTATAACGTACTGTTTCTCACTCGTTTTAAGTTGAAATTTAAATTTCTTTGCACAGTTAGATCAGATTAATTGTGTTCTTCAAAATGATATTCACTATGATATATTTTTGGAACAAATAAAAATTGAGTCATTTTTTACCAGTCTACACCATATGGTATTGACTAGTATTGAAATAAGTGCATAACATATGGAATGAAAAGCGTACCATGGTGATATGAATATACCAAGACTATAGGATGGTTGAATACATGATAGTAGGAGTATACTAACTGTTTACGACTTTCAACATTGTGACCACAAGATACCACCCCGTACCAGGGTGGTATTGTGTGATATTTTTTGGAATGTATTTTGTTCACTCAGAAATTTGTAGATCCAATAAATCATGATGAACTCGTTCATTCTGAGCAAAAAAATTCAAAAATGACTTAAAACGAAGAATATACTATATGATATGTAGTTGGTAACGAGATGCGTTCATTATTAAATTTTACTCGGATAAGAACCTCTACTTCTCCACTAATTTATTCAGTTTATTATGTAATAGTTCATTTACTAAATTTTAATAAAACTTAATGTATCAAATATTTATATAGATACATACTTGAGCCACTCAACCTATCCAATCATATTAATGTGTATCAAATAGTTGTTGTTACATCTCCAACAATCTTTCGGCCTGCTTTCAGGGGTCCAACTCCAAGGAAAATATATATATATATATATACAAAAAGCCCTCAGCAGCGAAAATGATTAACAAAAGAAAACAAAAGAAAAAGTCTCTTTACCATTCGATGTTAATTTCGTTCCGACCCGTATTATTTCATTTGTTTGGTTTGCTTTGAAGTGGCAGTACCCATCATATCGACCTAATCTGCTATGACACGTCTCATTCTTGACCCATTTTTGTTAATATTACATGTAATTTTGCTTAAATTACTTAGAATTTTACTTATCTGACTTTATATTTTAGCCATATGAAGTTATAAATATGTGAAAATAACAGCATTTATCATATTATCATTTGTGTATTGGATTTTTAATGAAAAATATATATTTCATGTTTTTCTTTTAAATTACATACCCATATAATTAAACCTCGTGCCAAAGGTCACATGGTCAAGTGAAACCCTTAGTGGGTGCTCGTTCCAGGAAGTGGCAAATCACGTGTTTGACCCCCCACCGAGGCTTGCTATGGTGTTCCCAGAGGCATTTATTGGGAATCTTTGTGGAGGGCCCAAATGGCTCAAGCAGGTGAACCCGCAGGTTTGGTCTCGCTCCATCATTGCTTAAGTGGTGTGTATGGATATGTTCCTGGGAAATAAAAAAGACACCCCTCTTAACTCCCATCTTTTATAAATTACCCTATCTGGATCTGACCTACTCCATTGCCATTTCTACCCCTCAGTTGTTGATACCACCTTCCTTGTTTCCATGGCTGTCACGCGGGTGGCATGCCACCTATTGAACTTGGTTCAACCGGTATCGGTCATAATGCCGGCGTGAAAACCACATGTATGATTAGCATAATCCATTTACGATCTCTAAGTAAAATGACATCGTTTTAGTGAATTTAACTAATAAAAAATCACTTATAATTTATTTTATGAGTTTAAAAGTTAAATATTGATGTTATTTGTTGGATTCAAACATAAACATTTAGATATGAAAGTTAAAAATATTGTATTTAAATATGAGTATTTGTAATTTTATTAGGAATGACACATTCTATTTAAATATCAATATGAATTGTAAGTAAATTGTCTTCAAATAAGTTTTATATATGATTAAATTCATTTATTCTTAATGAGTTATCACATTTCTACATATTTTTATTAACAATGACATTAACAAGCACACATAGATTGTACCACTAGACGAACCATTCCACTTACTAGGGGGTGCAAATTCGAGAGATGGGGTACAAACTGAGGTGCAAATTAAGATGAGCCAATTATATGAGGGTGCAAATTGTGATGTAAATTGTTGTTTGAGAAAAAAAAGTGGGAGTGTGCAAAATGAGGTGTTAACAGTTTTTAAGAATTATTACTACAAAAATATATAAGAAAATTAATAAAATAACTAAAAAAGAGACCCATCACCAATCTCTCTCATCTCTTTTCTCTATCCGTCCCAACATCTCCCTCATTTCCTTGTTCGGCCCCACGTGCTCCCCTTCCCTTCTTTCTCCTTCTCTCTAATCGACCCCATCACCTTCCCCCTTCCCTTTTATTTTTGTTGCACCCAGATTTGGCGGGTGTAGTGAAATAGTAACTTTGCACCTACTTTAGTTACCCTCAACACTAATCAAAGTTATCCAAACATGTGCATTTTCATCAATATTGCCACTTACCCCAGCATTTTGCTCCCCCTCCCACTTACCCCAACTTCCCAAACACAGTGTAAGAAGATGCAAGGGTATAAATCGGTTTGACAACCTTGCTTGTTTCCTATCCTTTAAGCATCTAGAATCACCAGAACGATGACATAATCAAGTAGCTAAAAGCAGTGGTCCCACATAGACACACCCATGAAGTAAGTCCAACCACACTGTACATATTCTCTCTCCCTCTCGTAGACAATAACGATGAACACGTCATAACCCAATCTTCCCCCGTAAGGTCGTAACAAAATTAAACAAAGAAGTGGGACCCATCTCAACCAAGCTCCGTAGTTCTGCCGAATTCCAAAGGACATTCTTGTCAAGCTCGTGGCGCATAAAAAGTGAATTAATAAATTTAAAAATTGAAAAACTTCCCATTTCCCTTTACTTAAAGAAATTGTTTCCACGCTTCTCTCTTATGAGGCCCATATTCCATCGCCATTACTGACCTCTCGATCTCATTTACTCTTCATATCCTTTCATTCCCCCCCCCCCCCCCCCCCCCTCTAGCGATCCCCCACACGTTGTGAAATCTTGATAAACCACCGCCACAATCGGTCGGAAGAGGAAGAAAGGTGGAGTCGGTGAAGAAGGAGAAGCAGATGGCACAGAAGACGGAGAAAGAAGAGACGGAGTTCAAGGTACCCGAAACCTTGACCTCTTGCATGGACAATTGTGGCGTCACCGGGAACCCCGCCTCCAATAACATGTGTCAGACATGTTTCACGGCGACCACCGCCACTGTCGCCTCGTCATCCTCATCGTCAGCGGCCTCCTCCCTCGCGACGATCCTGAATAGCTCATCGTCCGCATCAACGATAACAACCACAACGATGATGACAACGAAAAGCCGAGTTTCTGTCGACATATCGCCGAGATCTAGCTTACATCGATCCCCCACGCGAGATCCCCCTCCGGAGACGAGTCCGGATGTGGACATGTCATCAGATCAGGAGAAATTGACCTTGACGAGGAAGGCAGTGAGTCGGTGCTCCGGTTGTCGGAGGAAGGTCGGGTTGATCGGGTTCCGGTGTCGGTGCGGGGAGCTATTCTGCTGGGAGCACCGGTACTCCGATTGCCATGACTGCAGCTACGATTATAAATCAGTCGGCCGGGAGGCCATCGCGAGGGAGAATCCTGTCGTTAAGGCTGCCAAGATCGTCAGAGTCTGAATTGGAGAAAAATAAAAAAACAAATTGCGGCAAAATCAGGAAAAAAAAAACAAGATCGAGTCTCTCGATCTGTAAAGCCTGTTCTTTTGCTTCTCCTCTCTTCTCTCTTAGCAGATAGATCGTGGAAAGAGATAAAGATTGAAGAAGGAAAGAACTTCCAGGGCTTGTTGCTGATAGATCCGCCATTAAAATTCTTCTCTTGGAGTTCCTGTCATCCACATCTTCTATAGAAAATCTTCTTTCCTTTTTTCTTCTTCTTTGGCTCTTTTTAATTTTCAGAATTATAAGATTAATATTATGGATTAATATCAAGATCATTGTGATTGTGTGTTTTCGTAATCGTCTTCTTCTCGATTTTGTTAATTGTTTTCCAGTTTTCGGTTTAGAGAATGGCATAGCGTTGTAAATTCATGGAACTCGGATGGCTTTTATATAAAGAAGGAGCAGGCCAGGTAAAGGAGAGGAAAGGAAGGAAATTATGTTTGAAATGTTCTTCTCACGTCATATCGCGAGATTTTCTTTGGGGTTGAGTGCGGAGGAAGGGGAAAGGTCCAAAAAGTCGCGCGATAAGTTTTTATTTTCTTTGTATTATTATTACTAGATTGGTGTCCAACCCGTTGGGCATCATGTAGGGATGGCAACAAAATCCGAACCCACGGGTACCCTACCCCGTTCCAACCCGATTAACGCGGGTAAAACCAGTGTTGACAAGTTTTGGGTCGAGTTTGGGTTTAAACCAGTTCACTATTCACCAGATTGGGTTGGGTTTGGGTTTAGGTATCCCATGGATACCCGCCCACACCCATATAATTAATTTTCCTGGTATATTTAATATTCTTAACAACTAATCTTTTTTTATGTTTGCAGAGACATGTCTAATTTTTTCTTTCTAATAGTGTAGAATGAAGTTTATATTACGGAGTGGAGAGTGAAGAAGCTTAATTGACAAGGAGGAAAAAGCTTTCAATTAATCATGTTATTTATGGATAATTTGTGATTTGCTTTGAGTTTTCTAGATTGGTGTTGAACAATTTGTATGGTTAATTTGTGATTTGCTTGAATTTTCTAGAATGGTGTTTTGTATATGGATAATTTGTATTGAGAGATTGTTATTTGACTTTTATTTTGATAGAAACTTGTTATTGTAATTTTTTTACGACAAATACTCATGGATACCAATGAACCCGCGGATACCTAGGGGGCGGGTTGGGTTTGAGTTTTTCAAACCCAGTGGATTTTACCCCGGATTTTTTTCACGGATAAACCCATGGGTTTGAGTTTGGCAAAACCCGACCCAACCCGACTCATTGCCATCCCTAGTGTTATCTCATTTAAATACAAACATATTCATCAATGTGTATCTAAATTTTTCAAATTATTTGAAATGCTAAATTTTGTATGACATTTAAGGTGACATCCAAATTATTTTTCCATTTTTGAAAATCTTATAACTTTTCATCAATGATGAACATTGTAATCTTAATAATTATAACCAAAGTTGTCAAACCGGTTTAAGTTATTGATTCGGTCAAACCGTGGGAGGCTACTTGCGTGACACAAAACCCGCTCGCGCAGGATATCAAGACGACAGCATCTCGTGGCCGCAATACAATCAAAGGACGCCGCAAAAGAAGTGACTCGGGAACCGGCACAACCACTCTGACACGAGTGTTTGTCAAGTTAAATGCTCACCTACCAGGGTGGAGCTATAAATAGGGCATTTACTCCATCTAGAAAGGGGATCGAATTCGCTCTATGAACATTTACTTCTTAGATTCTCTCTGAAACATTCTCTCTGTAACCTCTTTCTGAACACAAACCTCGTCCATTCAGTGGAAAAGGATCCGACATCTAATATGACATTCTTCCCCCTTGTTCATATCTCGTGTAATCCACCTACTCTTAGTCTCAAACAAACAATTGGCACCCACCGTGGGACGAAGAATGTCAAAAAATTTGATGTCAGAACCGCAGCCCACGAATCAAAATCCTACGAACGAGGAAACAACACCCCTCAAGGCAACCACCAACCAAAGAATCTTTGACCCCTCAGTCAACCCTGAAGGGGCCCTGTTATTCCACGCCACACTGGACACGGGCGCAGTTTTAATCAAGGAAGAGGAGCCAGAGATGTCGGCCAAAGAAATGCGACAGCAAATGGAGCATCAAAATATGGTCATTCTAGATATGCAAAACAAGAAGAGTCAAATGATTGAACTAATGTGCGCTGGAAGCGCCCCACCAAGTCTGACAACCACATCTGGCGAATCAATCACCCCTACGGCAACCACAACCGCCACCCCAGAGGTCCCCATATCGCTTTCAAATGCACGGTCCCATCGGAGCGATCTCGATTTCCTGGAACAACATCTATCGCCGGTTTATCGGGAATCCCCCCCAGACTGGTGCTTCACCAACCCCTATGTCTGGAAATCATGGCGGAGCACATGGCGGGGAGCCCACCCATCCTACCGATTTTCAATGGTACGACCGATCCAGAGGATCACGTCACTGCGTTCTGCTTGAGGATGCAACTCCAAAATTGTTCTAATGTCGCTATGTGTCGAACATTCCCTTCGATGTTCGAGGGGATATGCCTTGACTAGTATAATCAACTCTCAAATGGGATCATACGCACCTTCGAGGAGTTCATTCGTTTGTTCACCTCTAAGTTTGCTTCGCAAAAGCGCAGATCGTTACACACGACAGCGCTAGTAGAGGTCAAACAAAAGGATGGAGAAAGCCTTAGGGTTTTCTACTCCTGGTGGTTGCGGGTAGCCATGGCGGTTCGGGATCTCACACCCGAAACACCGGCGCACCACCTTATGGAGTCCATTTGCAACGTTGAATTGAGGCGATCACTCGCAAAACGCCCCGTCCTTCCCTCAATAGAGCTTGAGGCAAAAGTGGAAAAGGCAATCACTTTGGAGGAATTATTGGGTATGGGATCTGTACGCCACTTCGAACCTAAAGGTGGAAGGGAGGACCAACCACACCGAAAGCCGCAGATCCCTCCCCTCCCCTTACCCGGCTATCACAGTGGAGCGAACAGACCCCCTTGCAACTGTACGAGCGGTTAAGAAACGCTCACACGAGCCGAATAGGGATGAGCGAAACCAGATAGTCCTCAACGAGACTATGCTCAACATCTTCGACGTTATTCGTGAGAAGGGATACCACATTAACTGGTCGGGACCACAATGGAAACCAGAAAACAAGCGCGATCATCGCAAGTTCTGCGAGTTCCACCGCGAAACGGGCCACCACACAGATCAGTGCTATATGCTCCGAGTAGAGATCGAGGGGCTTGTTAGGAAGGGCCTCCTGACAGAGTTCGTGCGCACAGAAGGACAAACACTGGCCCAAAAGCCTCCTCCTCCACCGCCCGCAGGATACAATGAAGCGATGGGCGAGATGATGGTACGAAAGGAAATCGGAGTGGTGTCGACAGAGGGAGTGAGGCCCAACAAAAAAATGAAAAGGCAAAGAGCGGTGGAATGCGCGACGGCTAGCACTAGTCTGGGAAAACTCATCTACTTCGGCGAGGACGAGTTTCTAGATGGAATACCCTCTGAGGACCCCCTGCTCATCACCGCACTTGTGGCCTCTTGAAAGGTACATCGGATCCTGATTGACGGAGGAAGCACGACAGACATATTATTCAAGATTACACTCGACCAGATGTAAATTGATCCACGGATGATCCGCCACGTGGAGGGTAACCTAGTGGGATTTTCAGGGTCACACGTCCCTGTGTTGGGTATCATAACACTGCCAGTGGTGATCGGCGACCAATCGCCAAGAGCAACCGAACAAGTCAAGTTCACAATTGTGGACTGCCAATCAACGCATAACGCCATCCTAGGGCGACCATTCCTCTCCAAATTCAAAGCCTTGGCGTCAACCTGTCACTAACTCATCAAATTCCCTACCACGGAAGGAACAGGTTTCGCGAGGGGTGAGCATAGGGAGCACACGACGCTAAAAAGGACCAACATTGTGGATACTCGAGTGGAAGAGGAACTGCGCCCTGCCCCGGCTGATTCAGCCTTCAAGGTGCCACTAGACCCGACAAAGCCTGATCAACAGGTTCGCATATCGACTCATGTTCCGAATGCAATGATGGAACCACTCGTACAACTGCTCAAGGAGTACAATGAGCTTTTCGCGTGGAGCACCCAAGACATGCCCGGGGTGCAGAGAGAGATTTCGAAACACAAACTCACGGTGCCCAAGACCGCTGAGCCAATACAACAGGCAAGGCGGACTTTCACTGGAGAAAAACTCAAAACGATCAAGGAAGAAGTGGCGCGGTTGCTAGAGGCATAGCTAATCATACCAATACAATATCCAAGGTGGCTCTCTAATGTGGTCCTGGTAAAAAAGGCTTCGAGAGCTTGGCGAATGTGTGTGGATTACACAACTCTCAACAAGGTATGTTGGGGGGATCCGTACCCTCTCCCGTGGATTGATTTGCTAGTGGATTCCACTTCCAACCACGAAACACTGTCTTTCTTAGACATGTTTTCTGGGTACCAACAGATTTTGATGAGCCTAGAAGACGAGGAAAATACTGCTTTCATGACTGCGATTGGCAACTTCTGCTTCATCGGGATGCCATTCAGACTGAAAAACGCAGAACCCACCTACCAGCGACTCAACAACATTGTGTTCGAAGGCTAGATAGGATGCAACCTTGAGGCATATGTCGCTGACCTCATTGTCAAGTTCAGGCAAGATACATCACACCAGGATGACCTCCGCGACTCTCCGCGCTCACAATCTGCGCCTTAACCCGCTGAAGTGCATCTTTGGGGCAGAAGCGGGAAAATTCCTAGGCTTCATGATAAGTAGGAGGGGGATAGAGGTCGATTCGAAGCAAATGGTCACGATTCGGCAGCTGCAAGCGCCACACAATCCACAGGAAGTTCAATCGCTAGCGGGAAAGATGGCGACATTGGACATGTTCATCTCGAGGTCTGTTGACCAATGTGCGCCCTTCTTTCAAACCCTCAAAGCTGGAGTGAAGTTTGAGTGGAACGATGCGTGTGAAGCAGCGTTCGAGGAACTGAAAATGTATCTAATATCACCCCCTGTATTGGCGGCTCCCAAGTTGAATGAAATGTTGTTTCTCTACCTTGTCGTCTTAATTCGCGCGGTTAGCGCGGTACTGGTGTCCAGGGAAAACATGAGCGAAGAAAGAGTCGTGTAATATACATCTCGCACACTGATAAACCCTGAAACCCGTTACTCCCCAAATGAGAAGGCCGCCCTAGCCCTTATCTCAACATTCCAAAAGTTACGTCCTTACTTTCAAATGCACCCCATGACCGTCCTTACCAATCTACCACTCCGGAAGATCCTGAGTTCAATGGAAGTTTCAGGGTGGCTAGTGAAGTGGGCAGTTGAACTGTCCGAGTATGACATCATGTACGCACCAAGACTTGCAATCAAGGGACAAGTCCTGGCGGATTTCGTCGTGGAAGGAGTCGTGGTTGAAACCGCGTCAGAATGGACATGGGAGATTTATGTTGATGGGGCAACCATCAAACACGGTGTAGATGCCTTAGCGTGGGCCTTACGCAAAAAGGCAGCCAGATGTACCATTATCGGTTAAGACCTATACAGACGCCCTCATGCTAGAGCGTATTTGAAGACCCTAGGAGACGGGGACTCGAAAAGAGCGATATAAGAAACACACGAAGGCATCTTTTCTATGCACCACGGAGCGAGAAGTCTAGAAAGAACGATACTCTTGCGCGGTTACTCCTGGCCGCGATTGAAAAGGGACGCGAAGGCTTTCTTTGACCAGTGTCACAAATGTCAAATTCACGCGCGACTCCACGATCCATTCCCTACTGACAAAGGAAACATAAGCCTATGGTCGTTCGCCCAATGGGGAGTAGACCTCCTCGATCCATTCCCTACTGCCAAAGGAAAACGCAAGTACCCGATCGTCGCGGTTGACTACTTTACGAAGTGGATAGAGGCGAAACTACTAGCTTCCATCAAGGCACAACAAGTCACACGTTTCCTGACCCAAAATATCCTCTCCAGATTCGGAACACCACAATGCTTCATCTTCGACCACAAAACACAGTTTGACTGCGGCGAAGTGATCGACCTGTGCGACCAGATCGGAACAATCACGCGATTCGCGTTCGTCGCATATCCACAAGAGAAGGGCAAGCCGAAGCTGCCAAGAAGGCCATCCTGCACGGCCTACACACAAGGTTGGATGAAGCAAAGAGGAATTGGCCCGAAGAGCTTCATAGCGTCCTATGGGCCCACCGAACCATGGAGACAAACATCCCCACCATTCGAGTATAGACATACAACGTGGAAGACAATGATGCACTGAGACAACTAGACCTATATATGGCGTTGGAACGCAGGGAGATAGCAGTTGTACGTCTGGCGGCGGGCAAAATGCAGATGGCAAAATACTATAACGCGAAGCTCCAGCCGCACAACCTCAAGAACGGCGACCAGGTGCTCGCCAAAATTTCCACCCCAACAGGAACCACGGCAAGTTAGCGACTCCATGGGAGGGCCCGTACAGGATACGTGAAGTAGTAGGCGCAAATACCTTCAAACTCGAAGAGCTTAGCAGAACCGAGATTCCACGAACTTGGAACGCACAAAACTTGCGCCTTTATAGACTCGTTGCAAGTCTATGACGAATAAACTAGTACGCGAGAATTCCGCTTATGAAAGCATGTGTTCTCTTATTATGAGTGCAAATACGCCTCTTTATCAATACCACAGACTATGTCTGTCAGGTCTTATTACGAGTGCAAATGCGCCTCTTTATCAATAACGTGGACTATGTCTGTCAGGTCTTGTCAGGTCTTATTACGAGTGCAAATGCGCCTCTTTATCAATAACGTGGACTATGTCTGTCAGGTCTTGTTACGAGTGCGAATACGCCTCTTTATCAATACCACGGACTATGCCTGTCAGTTCTTATTACGAGTGTCAATGTGCCTCTTTATCAATACCATGGTCCATGTCTGCCAGGTCTTAGTACGAGTGTAAATACGCCTCTTCATTAAGAACTATGGATCATGCTAAAAACCGCACACGGAGTTTGCGAAATACTATATAACATAGAAGGGAAACTTTGGCACTGAATCCAAATTAGCCCAATAGGAAAACACAATCGTCGTCTATTAGGAAAACCACACAAGGAGTTGGCAAAATCAACTGTCTAAACAAACGACCCAAGAAAGTTCAAACAATAACAACTTCCGCGACAACACCAATATTGCCCCCAGCAACACCCTCCTCTTCGGTTTCACTATCAGTGTCGTCGGTAAGCGGACGCTTCTCAACAAAGAAACGCTGAACGTGCTTGATCATATCGTGGGTGTTCCAACGACATCCGGGGTTGTCCGAGCGTATCTTCTTTCGAAGCGCCATAATGGTGCAATGCATACAATCAGACAGATGTCTCACGAAAGCTGTCGACTCCTTGTACCGTTGTACGCCACCATCACCTCCTTCGCGATATCAACCTTCTCTACCTCACTCCTCTTCTCCAACTATTCTAACTTCCTCGTTAGCTCGGCCTTATCAGCTGCAACATATGACCGAACAGTGTCCAGTTGGTGAATAAAGCTACGCCTCTCCTCCTCAAACTCTTTCTCCATCTCTGCTCTGATTGCATCCCGCTCTTCTAACCGCGCCTTCTCCCTCACGGCGGACAACTCATCGTTCAGTTGACGAGTCATCTCATCGACGCGGGCCAAACCAATTTTTGAAGACTTTGATACCAAACCAATTCTTGAATAGGAAATGTAAAATCAATTATAATTATAAGTATTTTCAATTACCATTATATTTATAATAATCAAATAATTTGCTGAAGCAAATATATCCTATGAATTCTATATCGATATAAATAATATGAGGATGTTATATTTAATTCTCGTACATCATTGTGATGTTGTATAATTTTCTATGTTAAATATTCTTGTAATTTTCTAATATTATATTTTAGATGTTTCATATTAATTAAATTTACTAATTCTAATTCTCTTCCTATAGTCGTATTTTCTTTTCTAGATTTGTTACGGAATTTTGTAGATTTTATTTATTTATTACTTGTTACTTTCGTTCTATTTTCGTTCTAAATTTTCTTCAATTACTGGAATATGTTTAATTCTTTCTGACTGTGTACCATTTATCTTTCTTTGGTCTTGATGCATTGATGATCAATTAGGTTCTATTTTAACTATTTTTAATAGTACTTCTAATTGGATTAGCGATTTAAATAGATATTCTAATATTTATTTTAAATATTTATTAGTATATTCAATATATTTATTCTTCTTCTTGATATTTTTTTATTATTTCACAAATTTATCTATTTTATTGTCAATTTTGATTAGTCATTTTAGTAATATTATGTTTAGAAGGTTTTTTAATTTCTATATTAGATAAAAACTTGTTTAAATATAGTTTTGGATGTTTTAAAAGTTTGGGTACGCCTATGGTGACATGCACTTTCCGGTCGACCTCAATTAGGATTAGGTCGACCTCATTTAGAATTCGGTCGACCTCATATAGGATCAGGTTGACCTAATCTGTTGTTTCAGTGTAAAAACAGTTCATGGTGCCTACTTTGGATATTCATATCATACAATTGGCTAGATGGAAATTGAAGACTAATGACTTGTTTTGAAGCTGGAGTGTCTCTCTACATATTGAAGTGATTGAGAGCTCGATAGGAAGTGTAGAAGACCATTTTTGAACCTCATCAAAAGGCTATGCCAAAACTGGGAAACTTCCTGGAAATGGCTAAGTCTGGAAACGTGTTTGTGAAGTCTATTTTGGAGCTCAATTCGAGAAGCATGAATGCGAGTCGAGTCTAGGAGCCTCTACCACGTTAAATTAGGTGTGTTTTTATACAAATTCAAGGCATTGTATGAAAGATTGGATATCTGTAAGGCTTCAAACAAAAGGGTCGAAGTTGCTACGAAGGCTGTTTTTCTGGCAGCTTGCTTGTGCTCGAAGTCTGCCAGAAAAACAGCCTTCGTAGCAACTTCGAGAAATTTATTTGAAGCCTTATAGATATTCAATCTTTCATCCAATATCTTGCCTTTGTATAAAAAATACGTAATTTAACGTGGTAGAGGCCCCTGGACTTAACTCGCATCCATACTTCTCAAATTGAGCTCCAAAGTTGGCTTGACAAACACGTTGCCAGACTTGGTCATTTTCAGGCAGTTTCCCAGTTTTGGCATAGCCTTTTGGTCAGGTTCAAAAATGGTCTTCTGGACTTTCTATTGAGCTCCCAAGTACTTTAATGTGTAGAGGGACACTTCAGCTTCAAAACAAGCCTTTTAATCTCCAATTTCCATCTAGCCAATTGTAATATATGAATCTCCAAAGTAGGCACCATGAAACTGTTTTTACACTGAAACAACAGATTAGGTCGACCTAATCCTATATGAGGTCGACCGAAAAGTGCATGTCACCGTGACATGCATGTCACCGTGACATGCATGTCACCATAGCAAAGTCCTAAAAGTTTTGGGTACCAAAAAGTAATTAAATTTTGGGATGGATAGAAAACTAGACGGATGCACATTTTGGGGACTTTAATAGTACCCGGCGCCCTATTCAAACTTAAGTAGTATGTCTGTCCCAATTCTCAAACTTAAGTGACACCAGAGGTATTTTACCCTTTTCTATGCAATTAAACCCGCAACATACATTCTATGGAGACATACATTTTTTCTTATTGGGCTAAGATCAGGTGACTGGGGGGCCCTTAGTCACATGACTAAGTCAATCTCCACCCTTACACCTCATTAAAATCCAATGGCCCATATTAACCAATTTAATAAAGGACATTATAGTAATTGCATGATTATTTAATTTATTAATTTATATAATAAACAAAGAAAAATCAATTTGGCCGTTGCTGCCTTCGGACTTCCGCGGTTGCCCCGGCCGGAAAAATTTCCCGGCGACTCCTCTAACCGGCGGCGACTCTGACTCTAGCCGGTGGCGTCTCCTCTGTCCATTTATATTATTGTTGTTGTACATTTATTTTGGACAGGAGACATGGGGAGAATGAATTTTCCTAGGAGGAGAGAGAGAGAGAGAGATTTTCTGGTTGGAAATTTTTTTCCGATGACCATCGTCGACGGAGAAAATTTTTTCCGGCGACAGTGCTTTGTGATGTTTTTTTTTTTTTTGCCCGAGAAATACCAAGAACATAGTTAGAAAGAACCACTACCCACAAACTCTTCCCATCCCATTTACAAGCCAACCAACAAAGTCAAAAGAAACTAACTCTAGTCGGGACAGCAGCAGGGCTTTACGTGCCACTCTATGAGCAGCCCAGTTGACAGTCCGGGGAACTGCCCTAAAATCTATACAAAGAGAACAAGACTCAAGAAGAAAACAACAATCTCGAAGAATGGGGCCACCAATCGCATCCTCCACCAAACGAAGCTTGAGCTGACGGATGACCACTTCTGCATCGCCTTCGATGATAACCGGAGACAAACTTCTAGAAGTTGCAAGAGAGATTGCATCCCTGGCTGCAAGGAGTTCTGCAAGATAAGGATCCGAGATACCATAATGCTGAGCACCCACGGCAAGAAGCACATGCCCATCCGAGCCGCGTACAACCAGGCCAGACGAGGAGCCAGCACTTTGGAGAGCAGCATCAAAGTTGATCTTCAAAGAGCCTTTAGGCGGGCAATCCCAAAGAAGAGGTCTAGCAGAGGCAGGAGCACGAGGAAGGGGAGACGAGTCATGCTGGGCAGAGAGAACTTCGCGGATTTGGAAAGAGAATTGGCGGGCTAACGAACGGACATGAGGCTGGGTATTTTCAAATACCACTTTATTTCTTGATTTCCATATTCTCCAAAGGAGACACACTATCTGGAGAATATGGGTTTGGGACTGCTCATCTAGCATAATTTGACGCCACCACAGACTAAAATTTTTCCTTGGGGCTGAGTTCAGTAAATCACTTAATCCCACAAAATACCAAAGTTGGATGGCAAGGGGGCAACGAAAAAACAAATGTTCTATACTTTCTTGGAACCTCCAACAAACAGGGCAACGACTTAGACAGTTAACCCCGCGGGATTTGAGAGCTACTGTTGTAGGGAGAACCACTTTCAAACATTACCAGATGAAGAATCTGAGTTTTGGAGGAGTCTCGATGACCCACGTCTTTTTCCAAATGGGAGTATCAATAATATGAGCCAATGATTTTCTATTTGGAATCAATATACCTTCTAAAGCCAAATGATATCCTGTCTTGACTGAATAATTACCATTTTTTGTGAAGTGTCATACTCTGGCATCTGGTTGAGCAGTCCGCGGAAGAGCCATCTTACAAATAAGGTCAACTGATTGGGCATCAAAACAATAGTGGAGGCACGGCACATGCCACTCCCCTATTCCTTCTCTTATAAAAAAGGACACTTGCGGAGCAGAGTTAATGTTACCCAACCTAATTATAGGGCTTTCTGGCTTTAGAGCTGGGATCCATAGATCATAGAAAGCGTTGATATCATGGCCATCTCCTACTTGCCAACGTAATCCTTGAAGGAGGAGCTCTCGGCCATAAAGTAGATTTCGCCATCCCCGTGATGGGTTGGACCCCACCCGAGCCTCTAGAATGGACGAAGAGCTAAAGTAACGACCTTTATAGATCTGGCCTAACAGAGATTCCGGGTTAGTCCAAATACGCCAGCATTGTTTTGCCAAGAGCGCTTGATTAAACGCCTGAAAGTCCCTAAATCCCAAACCGCCATGGAATTTACTTTGAGCTATTCCCCTCCATGAGACCCAATGAATAGGGTGTTCATAATTTGTAGAGGATCCCCACCAAAACCTGGCTACTTGTCCGTTCAACCGACGACAGGTTTCTTTAGGAAATTTAAAACATGACATACCATGGACAGGCAAGTTAGTTGCAGATGTTCTTATAAGTGTATCCTTGGCTGCTTTGGATAGAGCCCTTTGCTTCCAAGCATCAAGTTTCTGCCGGAACTTTTCCTCAATGAATAGAAAAGCATCTCTCTTAGACCTTCCTAAGACGGAAGGTAACCCAAGGTATGAGTCTTGCTCTCCGATGCTACCAACCCCCAGTTGTGTTCCCATTGATTGTGCAGCATCTGGAAGGGTATTCCGACTGAACATTACAGCAGATTTGGCCAGATTGACCCTTTGTCCACTGAGCCCTTCATACACTTGCAGAAGAGAAAGCAGAGTTGTACATGACGAAGACGAGGCTTCGAGGAACAAAAAGGAGTCATCTGCAAAGAAAAGATGGGAAACCATCGGGCATGTAGGTCGGATTCGCACTCCTTCCAAGAATCCCATAGACACAGCCTGACTCAACAAGCCAGAGAATCCTTCTGAGCATATAGCGAAAAGCAGAGGAGAGAGAGGATCCCCCTGTCTGAGTCCTCTAGTAGGTCGGAAGTACTCGGTTGGGTTACCGTTAATGATTATAGAATATGAGACTGTAGTAACACATTCCTTAATCCAGGCTATGAACTTGGGGTGGAATCCTAATTCCTTCATCATTTCCAACATAAAAGGCCATTCTATGCGGTCATATGCTTTCTCCATATCCAATTTCAGGGCCATCCACGTCTTTTGACCTGCAGGTATGGTTTTCAGGTGATGAGTGATTTCATGACTGACCAAGATATTATCAGTAATCTGACGCCCCTTGATAAACCCATTTTGGGACCCAGAGATTAGTCGGGGCAAAACCAGACTAAGCCTATTAGCCAGGATTTTTGATATTATTTTGTAAAAGACTTGGCACAAGCTAATTGGACGTAGAGTGCTTTGTGATGTTTGTTGACATATTTTGTAATGTTTGTACGCTTTGTTATTTTGTAATGTTTGTAAACTTTGTTATTTTTTTCAACCATGTTTGTAATGTTTTTTATGTCTAAAAAACAACCTGGTTGACTTTTGGATGGAACTTCTCTATATAATGATGAAGCCTTCAAAGTCAACCCGGGTGTTTTTTCAGTTCGTATGGATTGTCAGTCTAGTTTGTCATTTTTGTCCACCGTGTTCGTACTGTTTTGTATGTCTAAGAACACCCGGGTTAACTTTGGGAAGGAGCCCCTCTATATAGGGATGGAGCCTCCAATGTCAACCCGGTTGTTTTTTTCTTTTTGTATGGTTTGTATTGTTTGTACAGTTCATATGTTTGTAATGTTTGTGAATCTGTTTGTATGTTTTGTCGCTCTAGTTTGTACTGTTCGTATGTTTGTACTGATTGTGAATCCGGTTTGTATACTTCGTAATTTTCCATAATACCCAAACTACCCCTGTCATTAATTAAATAGCCCTTCCCATTTTTTAACTATTGGATTGAAGTGTCCAGATCTAATGGCTAGGAGGGAGTTAGTCAAGTGACTAACGAAATCAAAGGAATCATTTTGCTTAACTAAACTAAGCTATAAAACATAAAAAGGACATAATAATTGCGTTTAATTAACTGTTGATTTTGTTTTGTATTATAATTGTTATCGAACATGCGCCATTAGCTGTAAGGAAAATCTTTGTCGTTCTATCAACTTTGGTTCCTAGCATCTATAAAAAAAAAAAAAAAAACTTTGGTTCCTAGCAGACTAGCAATGACCTTAAACGACACATGAACTCGGCGGAATGTAGGCAATACGCCAAGAAAATAAAAAGAGTGTTTTAACTAGCTATTTGGCTAATTCCATGACGGGTTATTATCCTTTTTATTGGGCTCATGGGCCATTCTTCGCCAAAACACATGACAGATCCACACATATACGGCTGAACACTTCTTTGGGCCTTTAGGGGTATAGGCTTCTGAGCCCAGACTTCCGTCTGGCGGGGGTATATCATTCTTCGCCCTAGGGTTCTCTGCCCAAAGAGGGAAGTACAGGGGCGGAGGAGCGGAGGGTTTCAGAGATCGGCGGAGCTTCGAGGGGAGAGACTGCAGCAACTTTTCGCCGCCGTGACGATGCAAGGGAAGCCGAGGAAGGTAAGAAAGGAGGAGGTCGTTACCCGAGAGTATAACATAAATCTCCACAAGCGCCTCCATGGATGGTACCGTTTGAGCTCTTTACTCCTTTTTGTTTGAATCTTTGCCTGTTAGCTTGCATTGAAAATGGCTGACATCTGGATTAGAAAGAGCTCATTTCTGTCAGCTTATTGCCGTTCCCATGTACGGAAGTTGATTGCTGACCTCTGTTGTTTTTCTTGGGTTGAGATTAAGCGGAGAGTAAATGGGCAGTTTATGGAGTTTAATCTGATTAAGGACTCCTCTACGTTTGACTACTTTCTAGAAAATTGCTTTCCGACTTTTTTTTAGAATGAATTGATCTCTTTGTAAGAGAAGTTACCAATGTTGGCTTAGAATAGCTTAAAGTTGCTGAATCTCTTTGAACCTTGTGTTTTTTTTTCTTCCTAGATTGCAATGTAGTTGACTGAGGCTGGCAATTATCCACCACTGAATTGCTGCTTGACATGGATTAATGATGAAAGTTTATAGCTGGAGAAATGGGTTAGTTTGCTATGTTTAGCTCATTAGGGGTTTGTTGTTGCATTCATTGTGATGCTATTTCCCTTATTAGGGTTTCCCGTTCAGGTTTACTATTGGTTTCTCATATTCTGTTCTAGAATCTAACTGGTTTCATGCGTTTGGCTTTCTTCTCCTATGTGAAGCACCTTCAAGAAGAAGGCACCAAAGGCAATCAAGGAGATAAGGAAGTTTGCACAGAAGGCCATGGGGACAACTGACGTGAGAGTCGATGTGAAGCTAAATAAGCAGATTTGGAGCCGAGGTATCAGGAGTGTGCCGAGGAGGGTTCGTGTTCGTATTGCACGGAAGAGGAACGACGAGGAAGATGTTAAGGAGGAGTTCTACTCTCTAGTCACTGTTGCCGAAATTCCGGCAGAGGGGTTGAAGGGGTTGGGCACTAAGGTTATTGAGGAGGACGAATGAGAGTAGAGTCTCAAGCCAACTACATAGTTTTTGTTACCTGTTTAGCTCGAGGTACTTCAGTTTTGGGTTTAAATTGTCATAGTTCCTTGGTGTGTTTTGTCTGGGACTCTGGGTTTTGTTTTTGGATGCTGGCTGTCAGCAACTTATTCATCAGAGGAAAATCATGTCCCTTGACTTGACCTGTTCATTGTTATCCGAGCTGTCTTGTTTCCGTTTTCTTTACGTTGAAATTTCAGAACGCTTCTCGCAATATCATAGTCAATTCTGGAGTCGTATCCAGTGCCGTGAGTACTATGCTTGTTAAAATGAGTAGGTTCCATCCAGTTGGGACTTTCAGCATCGTGTTTGAAATGGCTGAGTTGCTGTAGCCATAGCTCATCGTTGTTGATTGACATATCACAGTAAAGTTTCCAGGGCATTTTGATTGTCTATTACGTGAATGGATCTGCTATGATCGTCATGAATAGAAGACATGGCTTGACTTATACTTTACATATCGTTTGGTATAAAAGTTTTGAGAAATTTATTTTGAAATGAAATTTTTGGGTTAATTGCAAGGTTGGTCACTGAGTTTACTAAAAAGTGTCATGTTTAGTCATTCGAAATATTTAATTTCAATGTTGGTCACTCGAATTAGTAAAACAATCCATATTTAGTCACTCTCCGTTAGTCTCCGTTAACACCGTCAATCAATTGCTGACGTGGCTAACAAAAGTGCTGACTCGGCTAACAAAAGTGCTGACTCGGCTAACAGATTTGCCAAACACTTTCAGATAGCTAGAGAGCTCCTTGAAACAATCAAACCCCCTCTAGGCTCTGAATGAAGCAAGAGGTGTTCTCAACCTATATATTAGAGCTTGAGAGTCGAGACTCGAGACCCAACCCGTATGAGACCAAATTGAGGAGTGCGGATCCCATGAATAGAAGGTGTTTAGTCATTTGGCTAAACCCCTCCCAGCCCTTAGATATGATCAGAGCAATTTGACGGTTAAAACGTGGGAAGGGCTATTTAATTAATGACAAATGTAGTTTGGGTATTACGGAAAATTATGAAGTATACAAACCGGACTTAGAATCAGTACAAACCATAAAATATACAAACAGTACAAACTACAATGACAAAACATACAAACAGATTTACAAACATTACAGACGTATGAACTATACAAACAATACAAACCATACAAAAAAAAACACCCGGGTTGACTTTGGAGGCTCCGTCCCTATATAGAGGGCTCCGTCTCAAAGTCAACCCGACTGTTTTTTAGACATATAAACATTACGAACATGGTGGACAAAAATGACAAACTAAACTGACAATCCATACAAACTCGACTAAACACCCAGGTTGACTTTGGAGGCTCCATCCTTATATAGAGGGCTCCGTCTCAAAGTCAACCCGATTGTTTTTTAGACATACAAACAGTACGAACATGGTGGACAAAAATGACAAACTAGACCGACAATCCATACAAACTGGAAAAAACACCCGGGTTGACTTTGGAGGCTCCATCCCTATATAGAGGAGTTTCATCCAAAAGTCAACCAGGTTGTTTTTTAGACATAAAAAACATTACAAACATGGTTGATAAAAATGATAAACATGATGCACAAAAATAACAAAGTTTACAAACATTACAAAAGAAACCGACAAACATTACGAAATAACAAAACATACAAATATTACAAAATAAACTGACAAATAGTAAAAATCCAACAGTCTCCGAAAAAGTCTTCTCCGGTCAATATAAAAAACTCTCTCTCGTTGCACCTAGGGGAAATAAAAAGTTCGAGGAATAAAAGCCACTGCACTAAAGGGCCGAATAAAAGCGGCGGCGGGGACCGGCGGGAAGAAAACGGCGACGGGGATCGACGGGGGACTCGCGGGAAGGGAGCGCCATTTATTTTTATTTGTATTTTAGTTAATAAATTAAATTATAATGCAATTATTATATTGTCCTTCGTTAAATTAAATTAATTAGAATCATTAGATTTTAATAAGCTGTAACGGCTGACATTGACTTAGACAAGTGACTAGGGACTAGATCTTATCCCCTGAAAGTGTACTGTGTATCCTGTATATTCTCATTGATAAGTAGTGATATATATACAGCAGTGTTGAAAACAGAGTTTGCTATTCCTACGTACACCAGCAACTGTCTACTAGAAGTAAGGAACAGAAACAACAAAGTGGAAAGAGCTGTTGGAGAGCTGTTGAGTTACTCCGAGATTGGCTCTCCCTTATCACGCCCCGGCAAGTTGAACCTCGGAGAGGTGAAACTTGGAACAGAAATTCCGAAAGGGTAGCCGTGCGAGTGGCTTTGTAAGAACATCAGCTAGTTGGTCTGTAGCAGGTAGATAGCGGACATGTAGTTGCTGTTTGTTCACACGATCACGAACAAAATGGAATTCTATCTCCAGATGCTTGGACCGGGTGTGAAAAACTGGGTTGTGAGCGAGATATGTGGCTCCTAAATTATCACACCAGAGAACCGGAGATGTATGAGTAGGTTGCCCAAGCTCGGCTAGTAGAGATTGTAACCAGATAACTTCTGATGCCAACGTCGCAAGAGCTCGGTATTCACACTCTGTAGACGACCGCGCAACTGCTTTTTGTTTGCGAGTTGACCATGAAACCAAATTCGAACCATAGAAGACAGCATAACCCGAGATTGACTTCCTATCTCGAGGGGAAGAGGCAAACGAGGCATCAGAATAGCCGTGCAGTTGAGGACGAGCTGAACGCTGAAAAACCAAACCCTGTGTCAGGGTCCCCTGTAAGTAGCGCATAATACGTTTGACTGCTGCCCAGTGTGCGTCAGTCGGAGATTGTTGAAACTGGGACACATGATTTACTGCAAAAGAAAGATCAGGCCGTGTGAAGCTTAAGTATTGGAGGCCGCCAACAATGCTCCTATAGAGACCCGGATCAGCAAAAGCAGGTGATAGATCAGAGGCACTTTGCAAGAGTTGATTAGCTGTACAGGGGGTGGATATGGCATTGGCTGTGGACATTCCAGAACGCTTGAGAAGCTCAAGAATATATTTTCGTTGATTGAGAATCAGACCATCTGCTGTATGGTGTACTTCTAGCCCGAGAAAATATGACAATTGTCCCAAATCCCGCAAGGCAAACTTCAAACGGAGGAATTCCATGAGCTGCTGTATAAGGGCTGCATTTGTACCTGTAAGAACTAAATCATCCACATATACCAACGTGTAAAGGTGATCAGAACCCCTGTTGTAGATGAATAAGGACGGGTCCGTCTTTGATGCAGTGAAACCAAATTCACAGAGAGCCTCGGTTAAGCACTGAAACCAAGCTCGAGGTGATTGCCGGAGACCGTAAATCGATTTCTTGAGACGGCACACATAATCAGGAAAGTCGGGGTTCACAAAACCTGCAGGCTGCTACATATAGACATCCTCCTGTAGTGTACCATTTAAGAATGCGTTGGAGATGTCGAGCTGATGGAGTGGCCAAGAATGAGAGACGGCAAGTCCCAAAATCAATCGTAAGGTAGCATGCTTCAGTACGGGACTGAATGTTTGGTGGAAATCATACCCTGCAATCTGCTGAAAACCCCGGGCAACAAGCCGGGCTTTATAACGCTCGATTGAGGTATATGATCCACGATTGAACCTCTCCCAACAACTCGAGTTATTGGGATCAACTGGTTCTTGACATGGTATCAGAGCTTTCTGTGACCGAGAGGTCTTGTGTTCGATTCCCGGTGACCCCCATTTGTTAAGCACATGGTATTCTTGTCTTCAGACCTGTGCAAACTTCAAGCCCTTGTGAGTGGTTTTCGTTTGAGGGGGCGTGTTAGTATTGTGGTATATGATCCACAATTGAACCTCTCCCAACAACTCGAGTTATTGGGATCAACTGGTTCTTGACATCCCCAAATTGAGCCCCAAAACATTCCAATTATGCATTTTTTTTTTCAAAATTTCTAAGATAGCCAGGCGGTGGGCTCCACGCTGCAACGAAATGTGAATCGTGCCCGCGAAGCTAATCATAATTTTCATTTTCAATTTCTAATTTCAAGCTCCCCCAACCCGCCATCGCCGAGTTCCGGGTACGCCGTAGCCAATCAGCCATAGCCCTTCCCGGTCAATTAATCAAGTGCGAGCGTCGCCGTTGTTGAGAAAACTCTCCACCGTCCTCCGCCCAGAACTGTCGAAGCGAGACGTCTCCTCCTTGAATCGGGACCTTTTCATTCAGAATATGCTCTAGGTAAAATAATTTCTCTGCGAGTACTTACTTCGTCTTCATAGTTCGCGTGGAACGAGAATTGCACTCTCTGTCTTCATTTCTACGGGAATGCTTCAAACTGGATGCCGATAACCATAGATCTGTAATCCTCTTTAGCCGAAGTGTGCCTGTGTTAGTAGTTCCTCTCTTGCGTTTGCACTCTCCGACTCGCTTTCACTGAAATCGTAATCCAATCAGTAGGTCAGTTGGTGGTATAGGGGCTGTGGAGTTTGCTTTTCTTGCATATTCTCGTGCGGGGAATGGATCAAGTGCCGCCAAAAAACGGTTCCCTGGTGGATCTGGACGATGTGAAGTATGTATCTCGGCTGAGTACAATTCTAGTTGCTACGATTGAAGAAGCGAAAGACAGGATTTCTCAGATCGAATACATATTCTGCAGCCAGCTCTACCCTAATGTTCAATCCAAGTACAAGAACTCCCAGGAATGTTATCTGGAGGCGAAGAGACAGGCAGATGATAGATGGAAAGAGAAAGAGAAGGAACTCATGCTTCGAATCAAGGAGCTCGAACTCGGGAAGCAAGAAGCTGTTGCGGAGAACCAGTCTCTAAATCTCGAGAAGGAAGTGTGGTTGGAAGCAAAGAAGAGGGAGATGATGTCTGGTGTTGAAACGGGAAAGGACCAGGAGAGAATTGGTTTACTAGAACAGCAACTCGCCAAGAAGTCTGCTGAGGTTGAAGAGGGAATGGAATTGAGCAATAGGTTGATTCAAATGATTCGATCGAAAGGGACCAAAATACATGAACAGTCAATGCAGCTTAAGGTGCAGGAAGAGAAGGCAAATGCGTTGGCTGACAAAGTGGACGGGTTAGAGAGAAAGGTTGAGGATCTCATGAAGGAGATAGTAGAAAAGAACGAGGAAATAGTTGGGCAAAAAGATGAATTAAAAGGTATGGGGGAATTGAATGAGTACTTCAGGTCGAAAATCTTTAGTGAGCGGAAGGAAACCGAAGAGGAGAGGGTCAAGCTTAAGGAGAAGATTGATGAACTCGAAAGGAATCTGAAGGACAAGAGTAGAGAAGTAGAGGAGGGAAGAGCATTGCAGGAAGAGCTACAAGAGCAGGCAAGTAAACTCTCCGTCAAAATTAGGGATAAAGTCTTGAACGAAGATTCTATATGGAAGGAGCATGTTAAGGTTAGAGAAGAGCTTGAAGGCAAAATAAGAGATTTAGAGGAGAACGTGATTGAGCTGCAGAAGACCGATAGCAATAGAGATGATGACAAAAAAGAATTACTTAAGCAAATTCAGGCCAAAAATGCTGAATTGGTGGGAGAGAAGGGAAAGAACAAGGATCTTGTCGATGCATACAAGAGATTGAAACATCAATATACCTATCTTTGCGAGAAATGTGGTCTTACATCAGGGAACATGCTTCCCCAGGCTAAATTGAAAGGCGTCGGTGATGGGTTCAAGCACCCCAAGAGTCCAACGTTATCACCTGGTAAGAGGAATCTTTAGGCTTCGCACTATTATTAACATCCCATCTTTGACTATGGAGCCATCTTAAAAAGCTGCTTAAGATGTGCATAACTAAATAAGGCCCTGCAAATGTGTTCGTTATGGTATGGAGCACTGTTCCTTATAGTTTGGATTCGGAAATTAAAGCGGTTATGCAATAGTAGTTTATCTATTGTCCTTCAATGGCAGAAGATTCCGAGAATGCCTTTGGTGATTGGGAACTTGACCTCGAGAATGCATACGAACGACTGCTGCAATTCTGATCGTATTGCATTGTGTTATTGCAGAGCTCAAGACCAAGGACTTGAACACTAACACATATCCTCACCAGCCAAAGAAAGTGAAGATAGAAGATGGAATTGACGATGGCGTTGAGTCTGACATGCCATGGACGATGACGGTTTCAAATCCGAGTTTCCACCTTCCTCCACCTCGTCCTGCAGCGCAGAAGCTTCCGCCTACAGCAAAATCTCCCTCCATAAGCAGAGTAAAGCGGCCTGCTTCAGGGTGGGTGGAAACTAGGTCGTGCGCCCAAGGCAAAAATGGGCCGGACCCACATGATGATTTTCTGAGCACTCCATTGGAGAACCTCAGAGCAAACAGGAACAAAGCCGTCATCACGGAAGCAGAAGCTAACGTTGCTGACGTGGTTCCAGCTATGGTAGACGCCATCCCTCGTGTTGATAACGATTCAGATGACGAAACTCAGAACATGAATGTGGACCCCGGTCCAGCAAAGCGGGATCATCAAACGTTGACCGGGGGAAAGAATGGTTTCAAGTACGTCGAAACGGTTCGAAAGAAAGCGGAACGGGAGAAACTGCAAGGCGTGGAGTGCAAGCAGTGCAAGAAGTTCTACGACGCCGTTCTGGAGAACGGAGGTGGTGGCAATGAAAATCTGAGGTGCGAGCATCATGATGGCGTCTCCAGGCATCGGTACAGGTACGCCCCTCCCATGACTCCTGAAGGGTTCTGGAACATTGGGTTTGAATCCGAAATGTGATTTATTTACCAGACTGTCTGCCTGTGTTTTCTTCTTCTTCTTACTGCTTGTGTTGGTCGTAAATTGGTAGTTGGGTCAATGTCCAATCTTAAATGCATTCCTTGGATCTCAGTGCAGCACATGTCTTTTACTGTTTTTCACGGTTGGAGTCGGGGAAGAGTAGTGTAGCAGAAGTGTGCAGGGTAATACTAGTTTGCGCCTGGGGGAAGTTAAAATACGTGGGGGAGGCGCATTGAAGTAAGGAATAGGAATAGGAGGACATTGCAGTAATGTATATGGTTGTGTGGATGTATGATTGAGAGTTGGGACTGAATTTTTCAAATTTTGACGGTCCACTCTTGCTTATTAGTTATTACCCTCTTTGTGTACTGAATTCTTCTGATCTGGATCTAACACTGCCTTAATGCTGCTCTGCGGCAAGCCAGGCCAGTAGGCCACCCACCTTCATTGAGATCACGGGAAGAGTAATAACTAGTAGCTCAGCGTGGTATATATACCGTATATGGTCCACTCTAAAACGGTGGTGGTTAAGTCTTTTCTCTGTTGATAATGCAATTGATGACATGAAGAACTATATTTTTAGCACGTTGTCTTTTTAAATGCATCAATATGATCATAGATCTAATTTGGTATTCGCTTTATATTGATTGTCGATATGATTCGGTCTGATACTTGATATTTAATCGTTATAATTTAATTGAAAATAGAAGCCTCTTTCCATATACATAGTACAAAATGTGTGATAGTACTTATCTAGCTTAAGATCTTGTGTATTTTTAGATGTTAGTCAATATGTTTGACATTTGTAGATAAATGGGAAAATCATCTGCCATCCAATATTCTGAAACAATGCAAAATCTCATCAGGGAACTACTCTCGTTGTTCTGTACCCATTATAGCTGTGGATTGAATACCATGGATGTGAAGAAAAAGGTAGCTGCATTATTGAGTCGTTTTGGCGCTTATATTGTTGCTCTCCTCCTTTCAAGTCCAACAAAATAGAGCTCCATCTTATAATAATCCAATAGGAAATCATTCGATGATGAAAGTAAAAGGTGAAGATTTTGTTTGGATGGGAAGGAGATAGAGCAGTCCAGCAATCTCTCTTCTTTTTCCCATCGCACTTAGGGTTTTGGGTGTGTAGAAAAAAAATTAGGTTTTTTATTATTTTTATTTTTTAGTGAATGTAATAATAAGGTGAAAAATATACAATTTTTTTTTAATAATTTTTTAATTGCCACTTCACATATTTAACGGTCAACTATGAAAGCTGACTGCCACGTAAGCTAGAGTTAACGGAGAGTGACCAAGCTTGAACCATTTAACTAATTTGAGTGATCAAGATTGGATTTAAATATTTCAAGTAGGAATGGCAATGGGGCAGGTCCGGGGCGGGTTTCTTGGTACCCAGACCCGCCCCGTGGCAGGTCGGGTCCAGGTCGGGTAATTGATCACGGGTCATGGGTCGGGGCAGGTTGACCCAATGGGTATGCAATTTATATGAAAAACATTAGAAATATTCGTTATTTTTATTATAAGACTAAGAAAACAAACAATATTATGACAATTGTAGTTAAATTATTGGAGAAATTGAGATTTTTACTAATTTACAACTTTATTATAGCTAAAATATGATGCAATAAAAGGAAAATTCTCAGTAATTTGACTAAGATTACATGTGATTTAGACAAGAATGGGTCGAGAATGGGGCGGGTCAGGGCAGGTCGGGTCGATGAGACTACCCATGCCCGCCCCGCCCCGCCTACAGGGCGGGTCGGACCCGCCCCAAAACAGGTCAAACAGGTCGTGTAAAACGGGTCAGGTCGAAATTGCCATCCCTAATTTCAAGTGACCAAACATGAACGTTTTTTGTAATTTCAGTGACCAATCATGCAATTAACCCAAATTTCATTTTAGCAATCGAAATTGCTGATCTTGTCTGTTTGGTGTTCACAAATCATTAGAGGTGGCAATTAGGATCCAAATTATCCATCTAATCCAATCCATCCACCAAAATTATCCATATAATCCAATCCATTTAAATCCAATCCAATTGATCCAAATCCAATTGGATTGGTGGATTCATGGATCAATCCATGGATCCAAATGGCAAATTACGATTTGGTACCTATATTTTTTATATTTTACATTTGGTACCTAAAATTTATATTTTTATACGAAAAATATCTTTGGAAAATTACATTTTGGTACCTAAAATTTTTCATTATGACATTTTAGTACCAAAACTTTTCAAATTTTACATTTTGGTCCAAGCGTTTGATGTCATTTGGATTCATGGATCAATCCACCAATCCATTTGATCCAATCCATGAATCCACCAATCCATTTGATCCATGTATCCACCAATCCAATCCACGAATCCACGAATCCGATCCAATTGCCACCTCTACAAATCATTCATTTCTAGTTTCTTTGCATATACAAGTCCTACTTGCATTGGACATCATATCTTTTTTTTTTTGGACCTTAACAATAGAATGCGGTTCTCGGATTTGGTCGACTGTGGCTTAAATCATTGTTGTGTAGTTAAGGTAGGATGAAAACCAACTTAGTTATGCTGCTCACAGCATAAATTGTGAGTAGATACTCACACGGTGGATCTATTGTCCACGAGGGCAAGACTCAGATGGGACTGGTTTGGGTTGAGGAAGGTGAGTCGGTTTGGGTTGGCTGGCCAAACCCACGACTGACCCACCACAAATTCAAAAACCAAAAATTCTTTCCCCAGGTCAGTTTCTCCGCCAGAACCACTTTCCCCTCTCTCCCCCTTTTCCCCTCTCTCTCACTTTCCTCCTCTCACGAACACGACGAAGAAGCAGCGATTTCACGGCGACCACCAGCGAAGCGGCGGCGACGGACCTGCGAAGCGGCGTCGAGGGTGCAGCGTAGCGGTGGTTGGTTTCGGCGGCGGCGACGAGGGTCCAGACTAATCGGCGGCGACGAAGGCCGGGGTTTCACGTCGACGAAGCTTGTGTTGATGGCGGCGACTTTGCAGACGAATCGGCGGCGACGAAGGGCTGGGTTTCACGACGACGAAGTAGCGGCGGTTGGTTTGACGGCGGTTGTGGAGAAAGAACTACTTTGTGGACTAAGGTAACTGTCTTATTTATTCTGTTCGGCAAGATATGCATTCTGTTCCTTCTGGATATCCGTTGTTTATTGCCTGGGTTGTTGTTTGATGTATCTTGATATTGGTTTTGTTTGAGCATGATATCAGTTATGACTTTCTTGGATAGTTGTTTGATAGGATCTGCACAAGAAGCAGCTCGAGGTCAAAGCAAGGCGAGGTAAAGATTTCGGTGCACTCTAAATCTCTGCTACATGTTATAATCTGTTTTGTGTGCGTTCCGATATTATTTATTTTGATTCTGGATATCCATTGTGTTTTGCTTGGATTGTTTCTTTGATATATCTGGATATCCATTGTGTTTTGCTTGGATTGTTTCTTTGATATATCTGGATATCCATTGTGTTTTGCTTGGATTGTTTCTTTGATATATCTGGATATTGGTTTTTACTCAGCATTATATGGGTTCTGACTTGCCTGGATAATTGTTTGATATATCTGGATATTGGTTTTTAATCAGCATGATATAAGTTGTGACTTGCCTGGATAATTGTTTGATATATATGGATATTGGTTTTTATCAGCATGGTATCATTTGTCACTTGCCTGGATAATTGTTTGATATATATGGATATTGGTTTTTGATCAGAATGATATCATTTGTGACTTGCCTGGATAATTGTTTGATATATCTGGATATTGGTTTTTGATCAGCATGATATCAGTTATGACTTGGCTGGATAATTGTTTGATATATCTGGATATTGGTTTTTGGTCAGCATGATATCAGTTGTGATTTCCCTGGATAATTGTTTGATATATCTGGATATTGGTTTTTAACCATCATGATATGTGTTGTGAATTGCTTGGATAATTGTTTGATATATCGAGATATTTGTACGTGCAGGGATAAAACGAACGTGAAGAGACAGCGACGAAATCCACCGCCGTCACCATCGCCACAGCCAGAGGAGGATGAGGAAGAAGAAGATGCTGAAGTCGCAGCGCAGTACATGCACAAGGAGTAAAGACCTTTAGATAGGGTTCAGTTTTCAAATACTGATTTTGTATCCGATTGAAGATGTTAGGAGTAAAGACCTTTGCCGCATGTTGTAGGAACGGGCTATCCTCCATCATAATATAAGGAACCGATTGTTTCCCATTGTAGTCTGACTCAGTCTACTTGCGTCTTTTTTCAGCCAACAAACTACATTTACAAAGCACGAGAAAGAGTTTAGTGCCCAGACTAATATCCACTAAAACCAATACTAATATCCCAACTAAACAAAGTAATATTTAACAATAGCATATAAATATCCGGACAACGCTGACAAATATCCAAAATTTAAGTAGACTAATATCAAAGAAAGGCAAAGAAATATTCTGCGTACCTGCTAAAGTGAATGAAAAACAAGTCCAAATCATTTTCAAGAAAAGTCGCACTTGTGCATTGCACGACTCGCTGGCTTGCGTAGTCAACATCCCGACTGTGAATTGATCTCTCAACCATAAGGAACACCATCGACGACGAAAACCTACAAACATCCCTGCACAAGACAACTATTAATGACAATGCATAACTGAACGAGTGTCGAAAAAACTTAAGGGAATTAGGAATTGATATTATGCCAACACATGTCAACAAATATCTGTAAAACCCAGACTAGTATCTCATAATGTCATACCAATATTCGTCCTTTTACAAAAACATATCCTGTCAGGCCATGTCAATATCGGCCCAAAAAACTGTCCCGACTGTGAATTGATCTCTCAACCATAAGGAACACCATCGACGATGAAAACCTACAAACATCCCTGCACAAGACAACTTTTAATGACAATGCATAACTGAACGAGTGTCGAAAAAACTTAAAGGAATTAGGAATTGATATTATGCCAACACATGTCAACAAATATCTGTAAAACCCAGACTAGTATCTCATAATGTCATACCAATATTCATCCTTTTACAAAAACGTATCATGTCAGACCATGTCAATATCGGCCCAAAAAACTATTTTATGAGCCTTCGGCCCATGGGCCCTCGGCGGGCAGCCCTTACTAGGCTGCAAGGCACCAGACCCGAATTGTTCCTTCATATTCAACTTCCCGCCCAAAATTTCGGGCCGCCCCCACCAGACCCGAATTATTCCTTCCTTCTCCAACTTCCCGCCCAAAATTTCGGGCAGCCCAAAAACTGCCCACTTCCTCAGCCCAAAATTTCGCCTCGCCCGAAAAAGTGCCCACAGCCTCCCTCCTTTCAGTGAGTATCTACTCACACTTTATGCTGTGAGCAGTTTAACTTTTGCGGATGAAAACGCATTATTGCGCTTTATACACAGAATCTCTGTTGTCACGTTTGTGCCTGACCTTAACGTGCATGCAACCGCCCCTAGCCTCATCCACCCTCTTACTTTACTTGCATAATAAGCATCGATCGCAATTCGCAACAAATAAGGTTAAAAAAAAGGGGGCAAAAGCGCCGTTAAGTAGGAATCAAGAGAACTAATAATACGTTTTAAAGACTTTCCCTTTCACCATTTGAAAATCCCAGTCCCGGGAGCGTTTCCCGGAAGGGAGCTGGGGGAGTTCGGGATTCGTGTGAACTGCATCTCACCGTTTGGGACTCCGACTTCGATGGGTGAAGAGTCAATGGGGCTTGACGAGAAGACTCTGGAGGATATGTTCTGGACGATCGTGAATCTGAAAGGAGTTGTTTTGAAACCAAAGGATGTTGCGGAGGTGGCGCTGAGCCTGGTGAGTGATGAGTCAAAGTACCTAAGTGGGTTGAACCTTTTGGTTGATGGTGGTTTCTATAGAAAATTCATTTTTTCACCAAATAGGCTTGTGGGCTCACGAAAAGTTCGGTTTAAAGTGCAATTTCTCATTGCAGCGATGGCCAATGAGGGGAAGGGAGGTTGGGTTGGAATCGTGTGGCCGAGAGGAACGCCATAGAGTTGGAATTTGCAAGAAAAAGAACTTAAAAGAAATTTCATTTTTTCATCAAATAGCCTTGTGGTTAACGAACAGTTCGGTTTAAAGTGAAATATCGCATTGCACCGATGGCCAATGAGGGGAAGGGAGGTTGTGTTGGAATCATATGACCGAGAGGAACGCAATAGAGTTGGAATTTGCAAGAAAAATGATCTCTAAAGAAATTTCATTTTTTCACCAAATAGGCTTGTGGGCTCACAAAAAGTTCGGTTTAAAGTGCAATTTCTCATTGCACCGATGGCCAATGAGGGGAAGGGAGGTTGTGTTGGAATCGTGTGACCGAGAGGAACGCCATAGAGTTGGAATTTGCAAGAAAAAAAGCTCTTAAAAGAAATTTCATTTTTTTTCATCAAATAGCCTTGTGGGTCACGAACAGTTCGGTTTAAAGTGAAATATCTCATTGCACCGGTGGCCAATGAGTGGAAGGGAGGTTGCGTTGGACTCATCTGACCGAGTGGAACGTCATAGAGTTGGAATTTGCAAGAAAAAAGGTCTCTAAAGAAATTTCAATTTTTTCACCAAATAGGCTTATGGGCTCACGAAAAGTTCGGTTTAAAGTGCAATTTCTCATTGCACCGATGGCCAATGAGGGGAAGGGAGGTTGCGTTGGAATCGTATGACCAAGAAGAACGCCATAGAGTTGGAATTTGAAAGAAAAAAGGTCTCTAAAGAAATTTCATTTTTTCAACAAATAGGCTTGTGGGCTCACGAAAAGTTCGGTTTAAATTGCAATTTCTCATTGCACCGATTGTCAATAAGTGGAAGGGATGTTGCGTTGGAATCATATGACCGAGAGGAACGCCATAGAGTTGGAATTTGCAAGTAAAATGGTCTCTAAAGAAATTTCATTTTTCACCAAATAGGCTTGTGGGCTCATGAAAAGTTCGGTTTAAAGTGAAATATCTCATTGCACCGATGGTCATTGAGTGGAAGGGAGGTTGTGTTGGAATCATATGACCGAGAGGAACGCCATAGAGTTGGAATTTGCAAGAAAAATGGTCTCTAAAGAAATTTCATTTTTTCACCAAATAGGCTTGTGGGCTCACGAAAAGTACGGTTTAAATTGCAATTTCTCATTGCACCGATGGCCAATGAGGGGAAGGGAGGTTGAGTTGGAATCGTGTGACCGAGAGGAACGCCATAGAGTTGGAATTTGCAAGAAAAAAGCTCTTAAAAGAAATTTAATTTTTTCATCAAATAGCCTTGTGGGTCTCGAACAGTTCGGTTTAAAGTCAAATATCTCATTGCACCGGTGGCCGATGAGTGGATGGGAAGTTGAGTTAAAATCGTGTGACCGAGAGGAACACCATAGAGTTGGAATTTGCCAGAAAAAATGTCTCTAAAGAAATTTCATTTTTTCATCAAATAGGCTTGTGGGTCACGAAAAGTTCGGCTTAACGTGCAGTATCTCAATGCACCGATGGCCAATGAGTGGAAGGGAGGTTGCGTTGGAATCGTATGACCGAGAGGAACGCCATATAGTTGGAATTTTCAAGAAAAAAGTTCTCTAAAGAAATTACATTTTTTCACCAAATAGGCTTGTGGGCTCACGAAAAGTTCGGTTTAAAGTGCAATTTCTTATTGCACCGATGGCCAATGAGGGGAAAGGAGGTTGCGTTGGAATCGTGTGACCGAGAGGAACGCCATAGAGTTGGAATTTGCAAGAAAAAGGTCTCTAAAGAAATTTAATTTTTTCACCAAATAGGCTTGTGGGCTCACGAAAAGTTCGGATTTAAGTGCAATTTCTCATTGCACCGATGGCCAATGAGGGTAAGGGAGGTTGCGTTGGAATCATGTGACCGAGAGGAAAGCCATTGAGTAGGAATTTTCAAGAAAAATGGTCTCTAAAGAAATTTCATTTTTTCACCAAATAGGCTTGTGGGCTCACGAAAAGTTCGGTTTAAAGTGAAATATCTCATTGCACCGATAGTCAATGAGTTGAAGGGAGGTTGCGTTGGAATCATATGACCGAGAAGAACGCCATAGAGTTGGAATTTGCAAGAAAAAAGGTCTCTAAAGAAATTTCATTTTTTCACCAAATAGGCTTGTGGGCTCACGAAAAGTTCGGTTTAAAGTGCAATTTCTCATTGCCCTGATGGACAATGAGGGGAAGGGAGGTTGTGTTGGAATCGTGTGACCGAGAGGAACGCCATAGAGTTGGAATTTGCAAGAAAAAAAGCTCTTAAAAGAAATTTCATTTTTTTCATCAAATAGCCTTGTGGGTCACGAACAGTTCGGTTTAAAGTGAAATATCTCATTGCACCGGTGGCCAATGAGTGGAAGGGAGGTTGCGTTTGACTCATATGACCGAGTGGAACGTCATAGAGTTGGAATTTTCAAGAAAAAAGGTCTTTAAAGAAATTTCAATTTTTTCACCAAATAGGCTTATGGGCTCACGAAAAGTTCGGTTTAAAGTGCAATTTCTCATTGCTCCGATGGCCAATGAGGGGAAGGGAGGTTGCGTTGGAATCGTATGACCAAGAAGAATGCCATAGAGTTGGAATTTGAAAGAAAAAAGGTCTCTAAAGAAATTTCATTTTTTCACCAAATAGGCTTGTGGGCTCACGAAAAGTTCGGTTTAAAGTGCAATTTCTCATTGCACCGATGGTCAATGAGTGGAAGGGATGTTACGTTGGAATCATATGACCGAGAGGAACGCCATAGAGTTGGAATTTCAAGAAAAAAGGTCTCTAAAGAAATTTCATTTTTTCACCAAATAGGCTTGTAGGCTTACGAAAAGTTCGGTTTAAAGTGAAATATCTCATTGCACCGATGGTCAATGAGTTGAAGGGAGGTTGCGTTGGAATCATATGACCGAGAGGAACGCCATAGAGTTGGAATTTGCAAGAAAAAAGGACTCTAAAGAAATTTCAGTTTTTCACTAAATTGGCTTGTGGGCTTACGAAAATTTCGGTTTAAATTGAAATATCTAATTGCACCGATGGTCAATGAGGGGAAGGGAGGCTGCGTTGGAATCGTGTGACCGAGAGGAACGCCATAGAGTTGGAATTTGCAAGAAAAAAGGTCTCTAAAGAAATTTCATTTTTTCACCAAATAGGCTTGTGGGCTCACGAAAACTTCGGTTTAAAGTACAATTTCTCATTGCACCGATGGC